GCTTGAACAAACATTTGTTCATCGGTGTTCACTGCAACATTATTCGTATAGTCTCGGGGTGGAAGCACCCCAAGTGCCCATCAGAATATGAATAGATGAGTGAGACACAGCACAGCACGCACACTAAATGGGAGGATTTTCAGCCACGGAAAGGATGCAGTTTGATCACATGCTCCCCGTGGAGGAGCCTCGAACCCATTCTGCTGCATGAGAGGAGCCCCACGCAAAGCACAAAGGCTGCGCGGCCTCGTTCACGGGAAACGTCTGGACGAGGCACATCCACTGACAGAATTCATAGTAAATTAGAGGTTGCCACTGCCAGGGCCGAGGCATGTGAAGTCTATTTCATGGTTTCAGAGTTTCTACTTGGGGCCATAAGAGTGTTTTATAAGTAGAGAGTATTGATGGTTGTATAACACTGTAAGTATAATAAATGTCACTGAATTATACATTAAAAAAGTGGCCAGAATGGTAAATTTTGTTATATTTTACCACAATTAAAAATAACGTAGCCCTGGCCAGTGTGGGTCAGTGGTTGAGCGTCATCCCATGCACCCATTGGCCGCCGGTTCTATTCGCTGTCAGGGCACATGCAGCAGGCAGCCAACTGATGGTTATCCTTCTCTCTCTCTCTCTCTCTCTCTCTCTCTCTCTCATCAATAAAAACATTAAAATAGTAAAAAATAATATAATATACACAAACCATTGAATTGTACACCCTAAATGGGTGAATTGTATTATGGTCTGAAAATTATGTCACAACAAAGCTAATTTTGTTTTTGTTTTTTTTAACAGTTAGCATGTAAAAAAAATCAGTCAGCTCTGTTTTTATTGCTTAGCTCAAAGACTTTGGAAAACGTACCTAGCCCCTTGAAAGCTTTAGTGTCCTCCTCTGTAAGATGGGATAAAATTATACCACATTTCCTGAGTTATTGTGAGAAATGCTTAGAGAATGACTGTAAAATAACAGACCTGGCACATGCCTAGAAATTCATAACCGCTGACTCCTTTCTGCGGGGGGAGGTGATGATGAGGAAGATGGCTGAGGCGCGTCGAGGAGCAGGGGAGGAGGACAAGCGGAGGAAGATGCTGATCAGGACAGGAACCAAGATGGGAGGAGGGTGGTTCCCGGGCAGCCAGAAGACTCAGTGAGAACCCAGTCCTCCAGGGTCTGACTGTGCCGCTGGTCTGCTCTCGTATGAAACCTGGAGAGTGGCAGTGGACGCCTCCCCGGACGGTGTTCCCAACTGTCGGGAAGCCCGTTGTCAGTGTCTCTGTCAGGGGTGACCAGCTAGCGGTTGCTGAGCTGCGACCATGTGCACCTGAAGCAGGACAAGACGGAGTTCTGCAGACGCAGGAACTAGAGCCCAAAGACAAAATAGATCCAGGGGCAAGGGAGCAGGAGCAGACAGACTGAGGCATCTCAGAGGGACGGGTGGGACGAGGGGAGGGGAGAGATCAGCCAAAGACCTTGCATGATGTGTGCATCACCCAAGGACACAGACAGTAGGGTGGGAGGCCTGGGGTGGGGGTGGGCTGGAGGGGGTCAATGGGGGAAAAACCGGGACATCTGTAATTCTTTCAACAATAGAGATAAATTAAAAACAAACAAAAAACGCAAATAGTTTAAAAAATTTCTCCATGAGCACCTCCCCAAGAATGGCAGCGCGGGGACGCCCCCTGCCCTGTGGTCCAGACCCTCTCGGTGGGCTCCTGGCTGAATTACCAGGCGGTGATTTTGTAATGAAACCGGGAATCAACAGTCACAGCAACACCGCGCTCCACGCTTCTGCTGGAGCAAAGGAGGAATTCTCCCTACACTACCCGCCTTGGGGCGGCATCGCGCACAGGACCTCTGTGTGTCACCTCGGGGGGTTCGCCGGGGAGCTGACCGCACCCTGTCCTGCTCCATCGCTTCAGAGGGAACCGGTTCAGCTCTGACAACACCTCCCGGAGCGTTTCCAAGGCGACTGGTCAGAAAGCAGCAGGTTGCGGCTGGAGGGTAGAGCGGGGTGGACCCATCAGCCGGCTTCCCTGGTGCGTCCCTTTCATGACTGACTATCCCCCCGGCGGCGCTGGCAGGGGGATTGTCCTCACTGTCCGTGGCCGAAGCTGTGCAGCACCAGGTGATGGAAAGGGAAGGTGACCACCACCCACCTCGGTGCCTCCATGGCTGGGGACCTCAAGTGATGGCAGCTGAGGCCAGGCCTGACCTCGGGGGAGCGGCAGGAGGGAGGGGGCTTCCTCTGCCCCCGTCTCACCATCTCACTGTCTCACCGTCTCACCGGAAACGGGTCTGATGCTCTGGGGTCTGGCTGCAGCCCTTTGGTACTAACGGCTCCAGAAGGAGGTGGGGGGCACCCGTCACATGGGCGCATCTGAAGTCACTGTCATTCGAGGGCGGAATTCACTTTTGTTTCAGAGCTTCAGTTTCTATGCCGCAATTAGGACTTTTTTTTTTTTTTTTTTTTTTTTTTACTTTTTTGATTTTTTATTTGAAGTTACAATGTCTTCAAATACTAAGTTAAAAGCAAAAATGGAAAAGAATAAGGCTTAAAGAGGATTTAAGTAAACTGGATTTATAAAAAATAAGGCCAGATACAGAATAAATAAAACACTGAAACAAAGTATTCAAACAAAATATTTAAAGGGCATACTAATTTTTATTTAATCCTCACCTGAGGATATGTTTTCATTGATTTTAGAGAGAAAAATGAGGGAGGGAGAGGCAAGGGTGGTGGTGGGGCGGGAGAGAGAGAGAGAGAGAGAGAGAGAGAGAGAGAGAGAGAGAGAAGCAACATTGATCGGTTGCCTTCTGTATGTGTCCCGCCCACCCAGAGCCCAGGCATGTGCCCTGACGGGAACTCTAACCTGCATCCTTTCCTGTACAGGACGACCCGCCAACCAGCTGAGCCACCAGCCCAGGAAAGACATAGTCAGCTGGTATTGGTTCTACAGATGGTTGGTCAATTATTTCCCCCAAAGTATTACTTCCCCTTTAAAAAAACCCTCCCATTACCACATGTTATGTGAAAATATTGCGTCTCGCCAACATTACTATGCAGTTAGTGACAAACAGGGCACAGCAATTCTGCACGAATCCCGTGTAGACTGACTGTGTGCTGCGCCGTTCATTAATGGAAAACATCCTGTGTGTTTGCACATCTGCTGCTGGTGACGTTTCACCCAGATGTCCAGCGAGGCTGACGGCAGTCCTTCCCTCCTGCCCTGCGAGTGCCCGCAGCACTCTGAATTATAGACATTATTTTACAAGTTCTAAAGGCAGGGCCTTTGAATGTATATTTCTGAATTTATATTTTATGGAACAATTCTGGGCATAAAGTGAAAGATAAAATATATTTATTAAGTGACTCAACAGGCCCTAGTTGGTTTGGTTCTGTGGCTAGAGTGTCGGCCTGCGCACTGAAAGGTCCCGGGTTCAATTCCAGTCAAGGGCATGTACCTCGGTTGCAGGCTCTGGTCCGGGCTCCTGTGGGAGGCAACCAATCAATGTGTCTCTCTCACATTAATGTCTCTCTCTCCCTCTGTCTTTCCCCCTCTCACTCTCTCTAAAAATCAATGGAAAAATACCCTCAGGTAAAGATTAACAACAACAATAACGAACAAAGAAGAAAAAAATGACTAAGCAGTTGATTTAGATAATTTAGTTTTTAAGAAGAGGATTGGTGGTTATCTGATTAGGAGTCAATGTTAAATAATGTTTGGGATTATTACGAATTGACTAAATTACTAATTGAATAACTTCATTCTCATTGGAATGTAAGCATTTTACTCTATAGTCACATCTTTTTCTCTGGAGCGTCCTGTCCCAACCTCACTGATTTTGTTAAAGAAAATGCAATTTGGCAAAACAGAATTTTCTCAGATGCTTCAATTTTTAGCGCTGGCTCCTACCAAGAAAATTTTAGATCCAAAAGAAGATACCACATTTCTTAAAATTCCTGAGTCGGTGTTGGGCTGGCAGTGATGTGGTGGACTCTTTCTGTTTTGTTCGCCTTTTTGGATCTTTTAAACAAGATCCTTAGATTTTAGGGGCAAACGGTCTAAAATCACAAAGTACCATGTTAACTGATTTTGAAAAATTTCTTCCCCCTACTGGGGATGGAGCCCACAACCAAGGTACACACCCTTGACCAGTATCGAACCCGGGACCCTTCAGTCCGCAGGCTGATGCTCTAGCCACTGAGCAACACCGGCCAGGGCTCTTTTATCACTGTATTAGCTCTCCATCTTGTTAAATTTTCTCTTTACTTTTTATTATTTTTATAAATAGAGCCTTGCTATCTATTTTCATGTTAAAATATTTACATAAGGTTTTAATAACTTTACTGACCCATGACTTTTTGATGGTATTTTATCCACAAAGATATTGTGTCTGAAAGGGTATTTGTCAGTCCCAGGGGTCATTTTATGCATCTCTAGTAGTTTATGCAGAGTGATTACTTACTTCTCTGTGGTGCTTTAGCCACATTTGGGTCTTGTTGCCTAGGAGGTGTATCACTAGTATGAAGGGACGAAGTTCTATCTTCAGGTGGAAAGCCGGTTTCTTCTGTATGGTGGAAATACTCTGATTTGCACATCCACATCCACTTTAACGGTGAACAGGCAGTTTCATAGCAGGGTCGCAGACTCCGCTCCAGTTTCACCTCAGTTTGTTAACTATTTTGATACAAATACCTCTACACATTTACAGGAAAACCTTCAGGTTCACGTGCTGTTGTGCCCGGGGCTGAGGGGGCCCTCCGGCCACGTCCGGTCTCCTCTCCAGGCTCCAGGGGATCGCAGCGCCAGCCCCTCCTGGGCCCAAGGGGCCCTCAGAGAAGCTCCCCGACCCTCCCTCAGCCACGCCCGCTTCCTTTCTCTTGCCCTTCACCTTGGCTCCATGCTCTACAAAGCATCTACGCTCACACGGGGTTTTGCTGCAAAAATCACTTTATTTTCAACGGGAGGTGAGTCTAGAAGTCTCGGGTATAAAAGTCTCAGCGCTCAGCCTGGGGCGGGGACGACGCAGCTTTGGACGCGCTGCTGCTGGTGCGAGAAAACACCTTGGACAGAACCGACGTGACCCGGGCCAGCATCTTGGACCCCTGCTTGGAAGCTCTGGGCCTGGTGGCTTCTGTGGACAAAGCAGAAAAGCAACGTGGCATTTCTCAGACATCCTCACGCTGCCCACCGGCTGCACTGTTAGAGGTCAGGCCTTGACGCGGACACACTCTAGGGGCTGACGGTCACCCTCAGAGGTGCTTTTTCTGCGAAGGGAACGAGGAGGAGGAGGTCTCCACTTTGGACTCCGTGACTATTGACGAGGTCAGAGGCCCTGCTGGGCTCCCAGGAGCAGAGAGTGGCCACGGTGGGCTCGGGTCCAGCCCCCGGACTCTTGTGGCAGCATTCTCCCTCCTGAACCCGTCAGGGATGCAAAGAGTGCCTTTCTTCTTCCAGCAGAAAACTCCCCGAAAAGCCTGGTGAGCTGAGCTCCCCTGGTCAGCCAGCGTTCAGTGTGTGCAGGGAGGCTGCCTAACTCAGAGTGGTCCCAGGGAAGCAGGCGAGCATTAAGCCTGCCAGCGTGGCTCAGCCGTTGAGCATCGACCTATGAACCGGGAGGTCAGGGTTCGATTCCCGGTCAGGGCACAGGCGTGGGTTGCGGGCTCCATCCCCAGTGTGGGGCGTGCAGGAGGCAGCCGGTCCATGATTCTCTCTCACCCCCATGTCTCTCTCTCTCTCTCTCTCTCTCTCTCTCTCTCTCTCTCTCTCTCTCTCCCTCCCTCCCTCTCCCCCCCCTCTCTCTCCCTCTCTCTCCCTCTCCCAAAATCAATAAAAACAGATCAAAAGGTAAATGCCGCGTATCTCTAAGGTGCGAGAAGCAGAGCGGAGAATCCTGAGCCCGCAGCAGGGAGCGGGTGCTCCCTGGGTCTGAGCGGAGCGAGCAGACTGCAGACTGTGGAGAGCAGCTGCTTCCCATGCGATTCTAGTGTATGTGCTGTTACTTCACGGGTGTTTCTATAAGCACAGCTTTAACATTTTTGTCTGAAAATGGCAAAATCTTGGCTACCTGGGTGGTGGACATCTCTTGCCCTTTCCCTTAAAGCTTTGTACACGTCTTACTCTTCGATAAAGAGGTGCAGGACCTCAGTGTTCAGAGTTAAATGGTTTGAGGTTTCCTTGTGTACCTCCTACAAACTAAGCATGCGTGTCTTCAGCCCTGACCGCCCGTTGAACTCCAGACCTAAATATCCTGTTCCTGTGGTGACAGCTCAGCTTGAGTATCTACCAGGCCCTCAGTCTCCGCTTCCCCGAGCCAGAATGCTCGCGCCCCCCCCCCCCCCCCCCCCCCCCGTTACTCCCATCGCCTCCCTGTTGTACCAAAGGCCTCCTCCTCCTCCTACGTGCCTGTCTTGGGCTGTTGGGAAAACAGCTGTGAGCTCACGTTCTACAAGGAGACAGTGAAAAGCTCAGTTGCCAGCCAGGTAGTCACCAGCGCCAGGGAGAGGGACGCCAGGGAGAGGGACGAGCAGAGTGGGGCAGGGAGTGCCATGGTGGCGATGAGGCTACCGTTTCCAAGGGTTTCGTCCACAGCCTCACTGAGGTGGCTTGTGAGTGCGGTTGAAGGTGAGGATTGGGCGATGCTGTGAGGCTGGAGCGAGGGTGCCGTGAGGGGAGTCAGAGGAGGCGGAGGTAGCAGGGGGTTTGGGGTCATGTCCGGATGAAGTCGGGATTTGCAAGCCATTGCAGTGTCTTTGGTGTTTGTCCCTGATGAGATGGGAAGGGCTCATTCAATGTTCTTAGCCTTTGAGACCCTGCCCCGTGTTGCAATGGAAAGTCTGTGAGTGCAGCGACCTGTCAGGTTTGCTCGCACACGGGGTGTGACACGGGGGGATGCGTGGTCAGTCCGTGATGAGTGAGTGAGTGCGTGATTGAGCTGGGCGGCTGCAGCACTGCTAAGGGCGTAAGATTGTAAGCGTGAGCATTGCAACAGCACAGGAAGGAAGCCACACACACACACACAAGATGGCGGGGTCTAGACTGCATGCTGCCTCCGGCTAGAAGTGCCCTTGGCCGCGCCATCCCCCCTGCACCTGAGAGTCCTCATGAGAGCAGGACGGCGTTGCCTTAAGTGTTCCCGTCTGGCTCTGCAGCCTCTGACTCCCCGAAAGGGCCTGTGCCAGTGATTGTGGCCACGCCTGCCGCTTATGGTGTGTTCATGGGCTTCTGGCCACTAACTGCCACGCTGTGGGCCATCCTATGCACGTGATTCCCACTTCCCTTGCCACGAGGGCAGATTTCTCCAACTCCCTGAGCGGTTGCATGTGTGAAAAGCCCGGGGAACCTGTGGCGAGTGTCAAGGCCGCATAGCAGTAAGCATAGTGCTTTGTCTCTTGCACCTGCTACCCCCGTTAGAAATGTATATATAATTTTTGTTAATCCTCACTCGAGGATACTTTTTCTATTGGTTTCTAGAGAGAGTGGAAAGGGTAGGGGGGAGGCAGAGAGAGAGACACACACACACATGATTCCTTGCCTCCCACACTTGCCCCAACCAGGGCTGGGGATTGAACCTGCAGCCACGGTGCATGCCCTTGACCAGGAATCAAATCCCTGACCCTTGGGCGCTCTAACCATTGAGCAGCACCAGGCAGGGCTGTTAGAACTATATTGATTCTCTGAGAATTCAATAAACAGAGAACCAAAACATCGTCACAGATGTTCTAAGGAGTTGGTACTGAGAGATTGAAAAAAAGAAAAAGTGATGCCTGGCTGGTGTTGCTCAGTGGTTGAGCATTGACCTATGAACCAGGAGGTCACAGTTGGATTCCTGGTCAGGGCATATGTTCAGATTGTGGGCTCGATCCCCAGTGTGGGGCATGCAGGAAGCAGCTGATCCATGATTCTCTCTCATCATTAATGTTTCTCTCTCTCCCTTTCCCTTCCTCTGAAATCAATAAAAGTGTGTTTTGAAAAAAAAAGAGAGTTCCATTCTAGTTAGATTATGATGTCAGCAAATAAACTTAGCTCTAAAATCCTCTCACCCCTCTTTTTTTTGGGGGGGGTGTCCATTTTTGTAGTGCTAAGCCACAGGAAAAATAACCTCTCAAAAAATTGTTAAATCCTAGTGTCCTGGGTTCTGGGTCGGATAGAAACTATGGTGTGATATACCCTCATTTTGAGGCTAGGTCTCCCACGGTAAATGTCGATTCACAGCATCATAATCCTCATCGAAATCATTAAGAAAATGTGATAGCAGTTCAGACAAGACAAGCTGACTGGCTCATTTGGACACCTGAGGGATGTAGGATCATATTTCCAGAAGTAGTTCAGGCTCACAGCAAAAAACAAAAACCACACCAAAACCAAACTCGGGAGCTTCTATGCATATGCGCACAGCCCACGGCCCAGGCAGCAGGGCGGCGGAGGCCCGGGAGGGGCCCGTGTGGGGTGGACGGCAGTCAATGGGGAAAAATGGGGCATCTGGAATACTTTCAACAATAAAGAGAAATTAAGAAAAAAGGATCAATTGCAGATTTGATAACTAAACTATTGATCAAAGCAGTAGACAAAGTCCTCTTTTGAATACTTTCTAATTTAAGTTAAAAAAATAAATCTCACCGTCTGATACTTTAGCAGGCGGGTCTGGGGCACAGTCCTTGGTCTCACTGAAAGGAAAGGAAAAGGAGAATTTCATGGTCTGGGTATCGACCGGGGGAGGGATTACTCAGCGAAAGGACAGCTGTCAGCCGTTCTTCCCGTGAAGAGAACGCGACATACCAGATCCCTGCGTTTCCGAACGGGTAGCCGTGATTTCTCAACGGACTCCCCCCACTTTACTAATGTTGGTGAAGTCCACCCCACACACCGTGTAACACTGAGACCTGCCGTGAGGGACGGTTCGTGCCTGAGCCCGTTCACGTTGCCGGGCAGACGTCACCACCATCCTCTCCAGGACGTTTTCATCTTCCCCAGCTGGTACCCCACACCCTTCAGCTACTAACACCCACTTTCCTCTCGCCTCACCCCCTGGAGCTGCTCTTCCACTTCCAGTGTGACCATGAAGTGTCTCATGGACGTGGAATCATGTGGGGTCTGTCCTCTCGTGACGGACTTGGCAGTGTCTTCAGGTCACACGTGTTGTAGCGTGCCCCGACCTCCTCCCTGTTACAGGCTGAATCCGAGCCTCGTGCCTGCGTGCACCACGTTTTCTGTCTCCACCGTCCCCCAATGGGGTGGCTCCTAGATCTGGATTGTGCACAACGCTGCTGGGCAAGAACTCTGGGCGCCCCTGTTTTCAGTCCTGTGGGGTGCACACCCAGACGTGGGCTCTCTGGGTCGTACAGTAGCTCCACATTTAGTTTTTTTGCGAAACTGTCATACTGTTTTTCACAGCGACTGTACCATTTTAAATTCCCAACAGCAACGTGCAAGGGCCTATTTTTTGTGCTCCCTCCCTCCACCTCGCTGATCGACTTTTAAATGTTTTCTTTCCCAAGAGTTGTTATCGTATCTCTTCGCAGGACCTTAGGAGTGCTAGTGTGTCCCTCACACAGGACCTTAGGAATGCTAGTGTGTTCCTCGGCCGATGGCCCGCCCCTTGCTCTCAGGTGGGCAGGCACCGGCTGCCCCCGGGATGTTCCTGCCTGGGGCCCCCATCCACTGATTTGGGGTGTCCAGGCCTAGACCATCCAGCCACCACCCCCGGCTGTGCTTCTGTTCAGGGGAGACGGGGGAGCACCTTCCGTCCCTCAGAACGTCTATGGATAGGCCGGGATATTGCCGACAAGTGGAAACCTACCCTTCCCACCCCAAGGGAGGAACTGGGATTTGGGCTCTTTCTACCCAACCGGGCCATGGGCCACGCCTGGTGCAGAGCGCGCCGGGGAAGGGCGCGTGCACCCTGTGGGATCTCCCTCCAGGGTGAATGTGGCTCTCGCTCCCTCGCTCACTGGGCTTTCACTTGGTCGCTGCTGGCCCTGGGCAGGGCTCCGGACTCCTGTGACGTCGCTGTGTCGGCAGCTGTCTGCCTGGCAAACAAAGGCCCGCAGTTTCCCGCTCCCATCCTGCCCTAACTTGGCTTTGATTTGGTTCGCTCCGTGCCCGGGTCCTCCTCTTGGCTACCAGCAGGAGAGAGGTGCTTGTGTGACTAAGTATGTGTGTTTAAGGAATCATCGTGTGGGAATAAAAGGCAAGCGTGGTCCAGGAGCAAACCTCCCCAGGTGGCCTGGGTGTCAGTGTCAGGAGGAAACGGTTCCCTCGTGCTGGGGGTGGGAAATGCAACAGGAATCTCTCTCTCCTCCTACCCACTGCGCTCCCACAACGGAGAACGCAGCCTCTTGCAGCGCACGCCCGTGTGTGCACCTAGAACTGTTTTAGATAAACTCGAACCGCTTCAGGCCAGGCTATCGGTTAGATGGCAGGTCTAACTCATAACAGCTGTGCTCTGTCCTCCGTGGTCAGCCTGACGTGGGCGTCTCCTCCTCGTGCAGCTGCTGCCCATCCTGCCCGTCGCTCAGCCAACTCCCGTGCTCCTAGCCGTTACCTCGGCGCCTCCAGCCCGCACGGCCCTCTCCCCCGGGCGGTTCTTACAGGCGGTCGCAGGGGCGTGCGGTCACTTGGGGACTGAGCGGGAACCCTCGGCAGGCGCCGCAGAGCCCCTGGGACCAGGCGCCTATCTCCCCGGTGAGAACAAGTAACGAAGGGAAACAAGACACTCGGACATCGTGATCCCAGACACGTAGAGGCCCCGGGGAATCAACATGGGGGTCATGTGGGAAGGGGCGGCCTTTGGGAGCAGCCACCGTGGGGGCTCCTGGAGGGAAGGAGGCCGAGGGAAGGCCTGGGACTGAGCCATGGCGCCATGGTGGCTCTACCAGGGCCCGTTCTCCCGACCCAGCCCTTCCCCTCCGATGGCTCCTCCCGTGCTGCTTTGCGGCCACGTACCTGGCAGGTGAGCCCAGGTCCTCCTGGTTGTAGGACGACGTGCTCATAATCCTGTGTATGAGGTGATGGATCGGCTCCGTGGACTCCCTGTCTCCTTTCTGCAAAGAGGAACCCAGGCGTCAGGCACTCACATGCACAGCGTGAGGGCGCGCCTGAGGGATTATTGGAAGATGGACGAACCCATCTTTCTGATTAAAATGTCTCTTTCCAATGGAATCCGTGGGCAGTGGCTCAGGGAAGACGGTATTTTAATGTAGGAGTTTGAATGGGTTTTAAAGGTAAACCTTGCACGATGTTTGAAGAATATTAGCTTTCCACTTCTGCACTTCACTAGTATTTTAATCAGGTTTTACTGGCTTCAAAAATAAAGGGAGTAGATATAATCCCGGTCAACTCAGAAGCTACCAGGTCAGTCACTGTGAGTGGCACTCTCATCTGCTTGCTGGGAAGTCATATGTGAGTTTCATGGCCATCCCTTTTATGAGAGTACCTTTATTCTGAATCTCCAAAAAGGCTATTATGACTGGGAACATTACTCACAATATATTTTGACTTTTGCTAATGTTATACAATAACATGTCTTTAAAAATATTATTATGCAAGTTTCACGTATACAACATTGTAATTCAACATGTGTATACACTAAAAAGTGATCACCCCCAAAAGTCTAGTTACTCTCCATTACCATCCAATTGACCCCTTTGACCCCTGTCCCCAGTCCTACCCTCTTAACTTCTGGTCACCACCTATCTGTTCTCTGCATCTATTAGGTTTCTTTATGTTTTTTCTTTTGCTTTTAATTTTTTTTTTAAATTTTCACATGTGTGAAATCACATGTTATTTATCTTTCTCTTTCTGACTTATTTCATTTCACATTACACCTTTAAGGTCCATCCATTTTGTCAAAATGGCAAGATTTCATTATTTTTTATTACTGAATAGTATCCATATATATGTAGCCACAACTTCTCTCTGCATTCATGGTTGGGCACTTGGGTTGCTTCTGTATCTTGGCTACTGTAAACAGAGCTGCATGAATATAGGGGGTGCGTCTATCTTTTCAAATTAGTGTTTTCATATTCTTCAGATAAATATCCAGAAGTGGAACAACAGCTGGGTTATGTGGTTGTTCTATTCTTAATATTTTGAGGAACCTCCATACTGTTTTCCATGTGGCTGCATCAACTTACAGTCCTATCGACAGTATACAAAGGGTTATATTTTCTCCACGTTCTCCCCAACATTTATTATTTCTTATCTTTTTTATAATAGCCATTCTACAGGTGTGTGGTTTAGATTTGAAATTCCCTAATAAATAGTGATGTTGAACATCTTTTCATGTACCTATTGCCCGTTTGCATATCTTCTTTTGAAAAATGTCTATTCTGATCCTCTGTCCATTTTCAGTTGGGTTATTTTCTTATTGTTGCATGAGTTCTTTATATATGTTTGAATATTAACCCCTTGTTGGATGTATGATTTGCAAATATCTTTTCCCATTCAGTGGGTTGTCTTCCTTTTTATTGATTTCAGAGAGGCAGGGAGAAGGAGAGGGAGAGATAGAAACATCAATGATGAGAGAGAATCATTGATCAGCTGCCTTCTGCACACCTCCTACTGGGGATTGAGCCCACAACCTGGGCATGTGCCCTGACCGAGAATCGAACTATGACCTCCTGGTTCATAGGTCCATGCTCAACCACTGAGCCATGCTGGCTGGGCTGTCTTTTTGTTTTAGCAATGGTTTCCTTCACTGTACAGAAGTCTTTTATTTTGTTGTAGTCCCTTTTGTTTATTTTTTCCTTTTTTTTTTTACTTTGTTTCCTTTGCATTTGTAGTCAGATCCACAATAACATCTAGGCTGATGTCAAGGAGGTGTCAAGGAATTTTATTGTTTCAGGTCTTCCATTCAGCTCTCTGGGCTTCCTAGACCTGCATGTCTATTTAATTTCCCAAATTAGGGATGTTTTGAGCCATTATTTCCTCAAATAATTTTCAATTCAAACCTAGATCATCTGAATTTGTGTGGATCTTTTATTTTCTTCCTACCTTGGCCCTTCCTCTGGTTATATCCTACCTGCATAAGGCTTTTCTACATAGAATCTTCAATGGGTATTAGCTAAAATACAATAAAGGCTGGAGTCTATTAAGTAATAGATATAAATAATTAGCTTTCATTTCTCCCACATGGTTTCCATTTTATGTCCTCCCGGGGCCTCTAACTAACCCAGGTCTCCTTCTGTGACCTGCGTTCCCTCGGTTGAGTTTTATGGCTTCGCTGGTTTTATGTTCATCATTGCTCTTATCCTATGAACATCACCAGGCTCCCGAGTGACAGGAACCACTTTAGTGTTCTCCTCTGCCTAATGAAGGAGTATTCTGGACAGAATTTCTGAAGATCTCTCCCTTTCCCATACATGTCAGGTCACCGGCAGCCCTGGTTCTCACTCACCTCACACTGCGGCTCATTCCCCCAGAAGGAGTCGGTGACAGCCAGGATGGAGGAGCCGGTGGGCTGGTCCAGCTCGGCGGCGGGCCACTTCACTTCCTTCCCCGTCGGTCCTCCTGGAGGCTTCCCAGTGGCCTCCGGGCTTTCCATATCTGCCTCCGTAGCTTCGTCCTCAAATAGATCACAGCTTGCTTCTCTGATGTCCTCTCTCAGAACAAATTCATAGTCATCAGTGGTCGGCTCCTCTCCCATGTGACTTTCTGACTCACCTTCAATATCATGAACTACTAATCGGATGAGAAGATCTTGTTTGTTCTGAACGTCTTTTAAAAGCTCCACCTTGGTGATATCAGGCTTTCTTATGTTCTGAAAGGAATTTCGGCCAACAGGCTGCAATTGAAGTGACAAAGAATATTAAAAACAAGTGCCTCCATCCCTTTTTCTATGGTTCTGTGGTCTTAGAGCCATGTTAATAGGATTTATAGTTTTCAATTTAAATACTGTTTCCTTCCCTATCACTCACTTGTATGTTAGCAGCATTTTAAGGACCAAATGGAAATTTTGAGAAATACTTGGTGTCTATCATAACTTCTTTTACACTCAGAGGTCATATTAATCTACCATAACTTACTTCAAAGTATAGAAGGTCTATAACAGGTCCTTTTTTCTTAAACTTGGTATTTTACTTTTTATCCACTTACTTCTAAAGTTTTGTAACAGAAGTAGCCGTGATCATCTATTTTTCAAAAATTCCAGATAAGGAACCATAGAGTAACCTTTTCTTTCCCCAATAAAAACCTGTTATTATCTAATTTTGATTTTTAAAAGACTAATACAAAATTGTGAACGTTTTGATTTTGATCCTTATCCTTCTGCTCCTGGTTCTTTGGACACATGTTTTTCAAAAGAATGTTTAGAACATACATCTCCACTCTTCTCTCATCTCCCTCATCGAACCCCACTTTCCGTTCTCCACATCGAAAGACAGTCCAAAGACATCGATGGTTAAATTAGAGTTCCCCACGCTTGTAGCCTTTGATGATGCCACAGAGCCTCTAAACTGACAAGTTAATCATCGTTGGCCTCAACATGCCTTTGCAACGTGGAAGTCCGTTTCCAGAAAATAGTGCCCTAAAGGAATATGTAATGATATATAGAAACTGCCTTCTTAGGAAATTAAAACAGTCCATTTTGATTTTCTGTGTTAGTGGAGGGAACCGGTGGTTGAGAAAATCCGAAGTCATTCTGTGTGGCTGTGAGATTTGTTACTGTGTGTGGCCTCGAGTGCTGGGAATTTGTCACCTCAGAGCAGAAAGTAAAGCCCGGAGTGTGGCTGACAGTCGCCTGGTTTTCTGATCTAATTCACTGTCTTCTGCCTTTCTGTCCTCTGTGTGGAGAGAGACTGTATTGGTACCCAGATTGGTACAGGTGACATGTCTTAGCAGAGCTCACTATGTCTGCTTCTTTATTTGTAAGTTTTATGTTTAGGATGGCTTTTCTCCCCCTTAGAGGATAGAGGATGGGGTAATTGTTTGGTTGACATAGCCTTTACCTGCTTTCTTTGGTCTATAAATGACTTCAGCAAAGAGAGCTGGCAACTAAGGGTAATATTTGTGACAGAAAATTCTACTGATAATTAAAAACTGATTTTGAGTAGTGTTACACCACAGTCTGCTCACACTCTTTTACTCCTGAGAGAGTCCTTGTACATAAGTGAAGACTACCAAGTCACATGCTAGGGCCATGATGAGAACCCACATGGAACAGGAACGTTTTGAGCCAGAAAGGATTGGTCCAAAAAGTTTAGGACAAAGGAGATGAAATTAGTGTCCCAGCCCACGAGAAACTCAGTTATTTGGGTATGAAAACAGAAAGCCCTCGGTAACATATTTACCAACCCTGAGACTGAGTTCTGTGGGCGGCAGGGCAGGGAGCACAGTCCTATACATTTTTTTTCTCGTTTTCCAGGCCACAGACTATATACCTGGACACACCTAGTCGTCCTCTGAACGAGCACCATGAGACCAGGGGCTTTGATAACGAAGAAAAATGTGCAGCGGATCAGGGTCACCCTACTGTCCAGACCCCCCCTGTCCTCAGGGGCATTATTTCCTTGTAACAAGGGCATCAGGTTGGCATTTTAAAGTCCCAGGCAGTTGAGTGTATGTGGGGCTTGAATGTGAGCGGCAGGGCAGGGCCAGGTCTACAGAAAGAGGACACGGGGTCGTCAGTGTGGTAGCATCAGGGCTGCTGGGTCCAGGAAAAGCGGGGGAGAGGGAAGAACTGTGTACTTCTTTGCAGGATAGAAGAAATTGGAAAAGGCTAATGAAAGTCGTATAGGAAGAAACAAGTGTAATCTAAGAGTTTGTCGCCTAATGTTGGTGGACATGTTGCTAAAAGCCAGCAGGTTGCTGCTGCAGGAGAGCTTCAAGTCTGAGCAATTACAGCTACTTTAGGTAGTTTTTGAACCTTCCTATGTCCTGATAGCCTAGCTGTCCCTTCGAGGCGTCTTTCGGCCCCCACGGTAAGAACTGCAGGAGCCGCACGAGATTGTGTTTCTTCTGAATCTTCACATGAAGATCACAGCCGTAGTCAGCCTGCTTTTACTGTGAAGGGTATGCCCCTGTGTTCCCATTCTGTTTACAAACAAAGCAACACCAGCTAAACGGATTGTCTTAGGAACACTGGCCTGAGACCGTTAGAGGGAGCCACCCATGTGCCAAGTCCCAGGAAGTCAGATGACTGGGGCTGAACCAGCCCAACCGATGCCCCATTGGGCTGGGCCGCAGCAGCGCCACCAGAAAGCACCCCAAATACCCATTCGAGGAGGAGAGTCACACGGCCACCTCGTCTCACTCTTCACCTGTTTGCCTGCGGCTGCGTTCACACTTACCTCTAAGGGCCTCATGTCCAGACGCCCCGTCCTGTTCAGCGAGGTGCGTCTCTCTTTCTTTAGCTTTTCCTCATTAGATGTGTCTGTGGAGGAATAACTTCTCCCCTGCATCGATGCCCTTCTCACTTCTGCTATGCTGTGCCCGGTGTTTCTTAAGCACTCCATCTGAAGCTTCTCAAGGGGTTCAGTTTTTACCGAAATGACTGCTAAGTGTTGGGAAAGAATGCCGGGATCTATTTTGATGGGCTTGTTCCCAATGTGGGGGACGATTTTAATTTGCGTTTCCTCTCCCCATGTGTTTGGATCGGGCGCTCCAGTCTTCATGTCAGGGTTCATTTTGAAAGCATGTTCTTGCGCCTTCTGGACGATCCTGTTCACGTCTAGATCTCCAAAGTGGTCCGCATGGGGAGCCTTGGGGCAGTCGGTGTCTGTATCTAAGGAAACGCTGGAGACGCCATCGATGATTAAATTGGCCACTTTTTGGGGGAAGACTCTGTTGGTGCCTTTGATGTCGTAGTGAAGGTCCTTGTAGGTCCCGGATTGTATCAGCACATTGCTGTAAATAGAGTCGATAATCTGAGAGATCATTTCGACACTTTCCGGGTTTAAAAGCTGCCCCTCAGGGTCAGCAGCAACAAGACTAATGTTACTTTTGGAAATCTCCGCCGACACAGATTTGGTCAGCTGAGATGCAATTCTATTTAACTCGGGCCTTGATAAGTTCTTGGCATCTTTGCTTGACTCACTGGGCAACTTCACCAGTTTGGCTAAGAACAAGGCCAGCGCTTCCTCTAAACACGTGACATCCAACATGGAACCTTTTTTGGAGGAAGACCTGTCCTGGGACTTCAGTTCAACAATTTTGACCACCTTTTCCATGATTTTGACAGCTTCCAGCACCAGTTCTGAGCTCGATACTTCTTCCTCTCCTTGCGGTTGGAATTTAGAATTGGAAATTTCCTTTACCATCAAGAAGCCTATTATGTCAGAGAGGACATTGCTCTTCCCCATTAAGTCCTTGAAGATGGACACGTGGGAGCCAGAGTGCTTTAACACCCGGGTGTAGACAGAATTGACGACCTTTTTGATCGTTTCATTGTCAGATAACGGTACAGTCGCCAGTGCCTTGGCTGGTGGTATGAGTTTGATCTTACTTTTTGAGATAAATTCTTGCAGGGAAGTTAATATTTTGGACATGATGTTTTGCATTTCAGTTTCTAGGGATTTGTTTCTTTTCTTGTCCACCGTGGGAAACACAGATAGAAGCTTGGATAGAAACTGGACGGCGATTTCTTCTATGACGTTGTAAGGCAGCCTGTGGGCAGGCGCGGACTGGGGCCGGGGCGTGTCCGTGTTGCGGATGACGTCCTTGAGGATGTTCTCAATGATGCTGTCCACTTCTGCGCACTGACATGGGGTCAGCTCTCCCGAGAAGTAGCTCTGCAGCTGGTTCCCGGACACCTCTCGCAGCACCAGCTCCACGATGGTCTCGGAGAGGATTCTGCAGCCGCTGGCTACACAGTTTCGTATAATCTCCTTCGAGCCAAACTGGGACAAGAGGTTCTCATAAATAGAAAGGGCCACCAGCTGGATGACCTCGTCGTCGTTGGGGTGTAGGGACTGCACATACTGAATGGTCACGTCTTTGTCCTTGGAGATCTCGGTCATGATGGTGCCCAGTAACTTCATTTTCAGGAAATCCAGTTCTGTGAGCCACCTGCCCTCCGAGGCGACTGCTTTGGTTTTGGGTGCGACTGAGAAAACCTTCTGGAAAAGAGCAGAAATCACGTTCTGTAAGAACTCGCGAGGCAGCAGGATGGCGTACGGCGAGAACGTCTGACACTCTTTACTGGCTGTCCGCACCACCTTCTGGACCTTTTTGACAACATCCTTACATTCCAGAGGCAGACATGCCCAAGATGGGACCTCATCGCTGGGCTCCAAGTTCAGCTGCTGCCGAAAAATTTCATTGATCACTGTCCTGGTCAGTTTTCTCGCTAAATTTCCCCCGTTGCTCTTTATATTCTGACAAAGGGAGTCTTGAGACCTATATTCCTTCAAAATATTGCATACAGAAGAGTGAACAACTTTGTTAACCAATGTTTTATCGATGGCCGGGATTCTCTCTAGGAACGACACCTTATTTAGAGGGATTTCTTTAATCACTTTCTGCGTTTGGGACATTTCCGCCCCCGCTGCTTTCTTAGTGGGCGGTGAGGCTCCATCTGCCGTTGGCTCTTTCTGCTCAGGAGGCCCTTTAGGAACGGATGACCCTTTACCTCCGGGAGGGACTAGCGGGCCTTCCTTTTCAGGCCTAAATACCTTAATCTGAGCCTTGGACAGCTCCTTCAGCAGCGAATCAATGAGCTTCATGGCTGTGTCATAGAGGTCAGCTTGATGTTGGCCATCACTGACATTTTGGCGTCTATCAGATGTTTGTGCTTCTGGTGAGGCACAAAAGATCAACTTGTTAACCATTTCGATGATAACATCCTCTAAAAGTTTAGCAGGGAAAATCCCAGGCTTACTTTTCAGTGGGCACTGAGCACTGTGCGGTTTCCTGGGTTCATTTTTGATCTCCTTCACTCCCACTTTCTCTTTTCCTCCCTCTTGTTGCTTCTCTTTTTCTCTCGCTTTCTCGTTATCCTTTTCTTCTTCCTTCTCCGGGGCCGGGAGATCTTTGTCAACCGAGAGGGGTAAGTCCTTTATTGAAACAGACTGGGCAGAATCCTTGCGGACCTCTTGGGTGACATGAACTGTATCACTTGGGGTTCTTTGGAAACTTGAATAATCTGATTCTGGGGCAAAACATGTCTCTAAGATATTGTCATAAATATTTTCAGTGATATTTTGAACACGTTCGTAGCCTGCATATTGTTTGTTTATATCGACTAGAGGGAGAGTGCTTTTTCTCCACTCAGTGTTTGGCTTTAGAGTTAATGTGTCTTCTGTGTTGGTCGCTGCATTTGTCACTTTGGGTGTCAAAGGTAACGGACAGGGCTCGTCTTCTTTTCTCAATGCATTTCCTCTTGTTTTGTCAATCTTCTGTTTGTTTGTGTCCAAATCTGGTCCAACCATTTTCTCCTTCCGCTCTGTCTCACCGGGAGCTCCTGGAGTCTGTGTGTATGCCTCATTACGTTGCTTCTTTTCATCTGTTGACACCAATTTGCTTTTCTTCTCAGTGTCATTATTTTTACGTGCTCCCTTCAAATCTGACTTCTGACTATCTTTACTTTTCACACTAGTAGTTGGAGATGTAACTGTTGATACATTCTCAGTATAATTTTTAATTGAAATTGTCATTTTATTTTCATTCTCTTTCTTTTTAGTTGCCACCCCTGCAGCTGCCCCTGGCAGCAGGTTAAGCAGGTTGCACTTCATGGTTCTAGTTAGAGAGGTGACTTTCTGTTCTTGGGTCTCGCCCTTTTTCACGGGCGCCTCCTCACTCTGGACACTTTTCTTTCTACTTGCTGTTCCTTTGTCTAGTTCCAAAGTTCCCAACACGTGTTTCCGGACTGAGGTTGGAGAAGTGTATTTATATGATTGCTCTGAAAACGTAAGTTGGTTTCCTTTGAGGCCTGTGCTACTCGGTGCCGTGGTTTTCTGTGGCAGGTGTTGAACCCTTTGGGTGATGTGATCTGGATTTAGAAATGAAAAGAAGGTGGAAGACCAGTCTCCTGAAAACAGGGGTTGAATTTTGAAGGCAGAGATTGCCTTTTGGGCTAATGCAGCAATCGTTTCTATTAGCACGTGACCTTTATCATCCTTCTGCATGTCACCGGAGTCATACTTCCCTATGAACTGATCGTACACAAAGTTGGATATCTTATCCACTGTCTCTTTATCAATTGGTGGGAAAGCAAAGACTTCTTCAGCATTCGGTAGAACTTTAATTTCACTTTTCCTGAATTCTCCTATCAGAGAATTTGCAAATTTTATAGCCAAACCCACAAGTTCTGTCTCCGACATCCCTTTTTTCTTAGGTTCTTCGGTAATACTTAGAAGGGAAGAAAATTTGCGAACAAGGTCAACCACTACATCTTCCAAAAATGTAGCTGAGTAGAGGGAAGTCTGAGTCTTTTCTTTCCCAGGTTTGGTGAGTGCAGAGCCCCCGTCACCCTGTAAAAATGGCCTCAGATGATGGTCCATAATTTCCTTCATAACGAAACTTGCGACTTTGCTGAGGAACGAGCCTGCTTTTTTGTCTGCATCTCTTTGCACTTCCGCTTGAAATTCAGATTTTTTCAAGATATTATTACATATCGAGTCAACCAAGTTCTCAATCATGTCTAGTTGGGTACTGTCGGCATTCTCTTCTGCCCTGGCGAGACGGATTTCATGTTCCGTAATTTCTTTGATGATTTCATCCGTCAGTTTTGAAGCTGCAGCCACAAACTCGTCATCAGGTGAAGCGCCTTCCTCCCTGAGCTCGCCCTCCGTGTGGGTGGGAGGGAAGATGCTCGCTATGAGCTTGTAAATGATGTCTTCCAACAGCGCGCGCGGCAGCACCGTCACGCACGGGCTGGCGGGGCCGGCCTTCGTGATGACATTCAGCACATTTCTGATGATGTTTTCGGTTTGAAGGGAAGAACAGGAAGAAGACACCAATTCTCCTGACACTAACGACTGCATCTGATGATCATAAATTTCTTCCAATAGTAAGTGATAAATTTTCCTGCCGAAAGAAGTCGTGTCACTTTGCATAACCTTGTAGACTTGAATCAGAGATTTGTATTCACCTAATATCTTTTCATAAACCAGGTTGGTTGTTTTTTGAACCATTTCTTTGTATCTTGCCGAAGAACACATATCATTATCGAAATAATTCGAAACTACAATCTCCGACGTGGTGAACTCCAGAACAATTGATTTTACTAACGTTGTCACAATGTCAGTAATTTTCACTTTCACTATGTCTGGGTGCTCAGCAGCCAAGACGTTGTGTGAGAACGCGTACAGGAGTTTACATAGCAGCTCTGCGATGACCTCCTCCAGGAAGGCAGCCGAGTTCACCACAAAAGCCAAGTTTCCTTGCTGAGAGTCGGCTGCTCTCTGTTTATCGACATGATCAACCGCAGCTGAGAGGCATGTTTTATCTCCAGGTAAAAATGACTGGAGATGATGGTTAAATATTTCTTTTATGATAAAACTCGCTATTTTCGAAACAGGCATCTTACTTATCCCTTTCTTATCCTTTGTGAGAGACTGGTAGAGCTTTGAGTGTGAAAGGTCGGCGTAGATGGAACCCACCATGGACTGGATATCTTTCTCGGAGATCATGCTCTGTTTCTCACTGCCATGTTTGACAATGCAGATTGCATGTTTGGAAATGATTGACATAATTTCGTTTATCAGCCTTATGACGTTATCACTTAGCTCCGACTTGGAAGTGCCCTTGCATTCTGCGCTGGAGGCCAGTGGGCTCACCTGAGAGATCAGCTGGGTGACCACCTTTTCCAGGTGGGTGTGCGATAACATGGTGGTGTAGATAGTTGACGCCTGTCTTTGGAATCTTGATTTAGTGATGTAACCTTGGACTCTCTTTATCAAAACATCGACGTTCAGTTTGGCGTACGACTTAAAACGAAGCTTTCCGATCAGCTTTGGGTGGATTTGGAAATCAAACGTGTGGGCCAGGATGCTCTTAGTCACCCTTGCTGCCAAGGTTTTTGTGTCATTGAGGAAATCGTAATCGGGCAGGATGTCCATTTCATATTCTTGCAGCACTTTGCTGAACACCATGTCCACAACGTTGTTGAGGACATCGCTCTCCACTGGAGGCAAACGGCACTGCTCCTCGGCGTTCTCCAGAATGCGGACCGGGGCTCTTGACAGCTCTTCTGCTATCAGATGTATGAGTTTCCCAGCTTTATCCAAAAGCTCATCTTCCGAGTCTCTTGCTGACTTTGTTTGCACAATGCCCAACACCCTGTGGAATATTTTCCTTAAAACTCCAAAGATCACATCTTCCAAAAATGCTGCCGAGTAAACATTGGCAGGAGGCCATGGCCTCCACTCACCGTCAGGGTGAGTGTCTGTGGGGGAAGGCAATGCCTTTTGGTCCACAAACGGCTGAAGATGTTGTTGACAAATATGTTTGATGATGAAACCTGCTATTCTATCGATGAGAGCGTCGTTGCTGCCTTTGATGTTTTGTTCAACCGATTCCTGAGACTCGGAGTTTTGTAAAATGTTTTCGAAGACAGAGTCCACAAGGTGCTGGACATCATCTTCTGAATAAACAAACTTGGTTTCTTCATCATCTTTTGAGAATTGGATGTCATGTTGAGAAATTTTCATCCTAATATCACTGATTATATTTGAAGCAATTTTATTAAAATTCACTCTTGACCTGTCTTTTAGAGTTCCTGTGTTTGGAACAAAGTCGGATGCAGAAGAAAAGATTCTAGATAATAGTACTCTGATCATATCTTCTAAAAACGTGTATGGCAGCAAGGTATTATACGGAGATAAACTCGGGCTTGGCGTGGTGGGTTTGCTGATGTTACTAATGATGTCCTGGATGATGTTCTCAGCTGTGGAAATAGAACAGGAAGATGACAAATCGCCAGAGAACAGCGGGTGAAGAAGGTAATCAGAAATGGCCGCTACAGTTAAATTGGTGATGTTTTCCACAAAAGTCTCGCTGTCTTCAGACTCCTTGTTAGCCTCAGGGTCTAGCCTGTGCTGCTGTAACACGTTTCTGTAAACAGAGGACACGAGCTCATCCACGATGTCTGTGCCTACAGAGGGGCAGACGCCCTCCTTGCCGCCACTGAGGACGTGAGTTGTAGCTTTGTCGAAGTGGGTGGTTATCGAGTTCACTATTTTTTGTGTCATGTTTTCCAGCTCATTGTCAGTGTTCTGCTTGGAGCTGAATATCTTTGATACAAGTCTGGCCACAATTTCCCCTATGAATGTGTCAGGGGGAACGCCTGAGGGTGAGGGCCTCTTGGGTCTGTGCGACTCTGTGACCTCACTGAGGACCCGTTTAACCATGTTCGATACTGCATCCAGTGGAGTATTTGGACGGTGCAAACCTTCTTCACACAAAAATGGTTGAAGATGGTTTTCAATAATCTCTTGGATAATAAAACTGGCTATTCGGTCCACCATAACTGGGCTTCGGCTCACCAGGCTGTTCTGGATTGAGACGAGAGAGTCAGGCATTTGCATGATGTTCCGATACACAGAATCCACCATCTTCTGGGTGTTTTTCCCTGCACATAGCTGTGGATTGTCACATATAGTGAGCCAAATTTTGTGTTTTGAAATGGCTGATAGAACCTTATTTATGATACAGTTAGACATTTCACTGAAATCTGAACTCATGAACTCTTTTCTCCCCAGAGAGGAAGCCTTACTGGGTGGAGCAGTGAGTTGGGCGAGAAGCCTCCTGATGATATCCTCTAAAAAGGAGTGCGACACCCTGGTGCTGTAGCCTCCCGCAGACCTGGATCTGGAAGCGCATTCTCTCAGGGTCCTTTGTAGTTTCTGCAGGATGATTTCTGCTTCGAGAGGGCAGCAGGAGTTGGGGCTGAGCTTCTCCCGGAAGCAGGGTGGGAGTTGGTAGTCCACGATCTCTAACAGTATGCCGTTCGCTATTTGTCCTGCTAGTGAGTTGTTGTCATGTGCCAGATTCACACCACAGGTCACCTTCAATTGATATTTCTGCAAAACGTCAGGGTAAACCGAGTCAACAACCCTACGTACCCTTTCCTTTTGGACCGGCGGGAAGCACAGTCTCTCCTCCACATTCCGCAGAACGGCGATGTGCGCGCGCGCAAACTCCCTCACCACGTTGTTGACAAGTAGTGTGTTCATCTCACTGAGCTGGGCCTCCGGGATGCTTTCATTTTTGCCCCACAGGGAAGTGGAGAGATCGAAAAACAGTTCTGAAATGATTTCCTCCAAAAATGTGGCCGAATAAACACCTGTGCTCCTACTCCCCAGGTGTAGCTTGCTATGGATGGCTGTTTCCTGCCTCCTACGAGGTGTCACAGAAGAGGAGCTTACTGAACACTTCCTGCCGAAAGGTGACTGTGTTTTGGAGCGGACCATGCTGGAGAGATTTAGGGATCCGGTCAGAGCGCGACTGTCACAGCTGGTGAAGCCGGCAGAACCTTTACCTTGTCCGAATCCTGCTAATTCTGGCCCTTTTGCTTTTATAAGACCCGACTGCCTTTCTTGTGTTCTACCCTTCAGGTGCTGGCTTGCACTGGGCGAGCTGTGAGGGAGTTCAATATTGTGACAGAGTTTGTCCATCAGGGACTTCACCAAGGTGTGGGAAACGAGGGTGAGCATAGTGTCAGATGACGACACATCTGTATCCATTTCTGCCAGATTTTCCAAAAGATCTGACATATAATCTCCTTGGGACTGTTCACAGCCCATTGCCCCCTTACAGTCACCAAAGCCCTCGTCTTCTACACTTTGAAGCATTTTTAAAAGCTGACATTCTTCTGCAGACATTTCATCAGAAAGAGGGCCGTGATCAAGAAAGGCAGTGTTTGTGCATTTTTCCAAAAGCGTTCTGATAAGTTTCTCACACACGACATTGAGAAGAAAAACGGATTTGGGGGTGAGCCCTAAGTTATTACTCGATGACGATAAAGATTTTCTTGCTTTTTCATAAGAATCCATAGCCTCACCTCTGCGTTCATCTGGTAAAAATAAATCTAAAACAATATTGAAGACCTTATTGACTACTTCTTTGGATTCACGAGTTTTCAGGCTACTAATGATACTGTCTAACTTGTATGCCAGATAATTTAATTTCTCATTTTGAATGGGTTGTTCATTTGGGTGAGTAGATGATTCCCAGTTTCTGCAACTTATCTGTCTTTTCATGGTATTTGTTTTGTTGCCCATGGACACACTATTGCTTCTAAGCATGGACAATGGTTTACTTCTTCCATTGCTTTCAAGGTGATGAGTTATTCCTATCACTTTGGACAGTACGTGAATCACTCCTATTAAGAGATCCTGGAAAATATGGTCAAAGTCAGTAGCAGTGACTCCTGGGCAATAAATGTACTTTGTTTTTAAAGAAAACATTTGCTGTTCAATGTCAGGTTCTATAATGTTACTATTGCAAAGGATTTTAGTAATGATTTCAGAAATACTTAAAGCAAGTTCTCCGATAGAAATCGACCTGTTTTCAAATACTTGAGAATCAATGGAAATAATCTTGTTACATCCTGAATTTTGGCTTTCCCATGCCTTCGCACTTTCTCTGCCACCTCGGATGCCATCAGAAATCCTCGAAATTAAATGGCAAATGACAGACTCAGTGAGATGCTCACAAAGTTGGCAAAGCGAAGAATCATTATATATGCTTCTTAGACGCTGTTCTGACTCGTATGTTTTCTTTGACAGTGCAGAAACAATAGACATCTTCTCACTGGACACTTCAAAGAGAAAACATAATTTGTAGCATGCATTAAGAGAAATACGGAAAATTCAATATATCGGTAATTATTTACATATGAATTTCACCTTTGGAACACTTCACTAAAGAAAAAGAAAAATTTAGTCAAGAAAGAAATTGGGTTTTCTTCTGATACTTACTTCCCATCTTGTGGAATCATAATTTTAGCCAGAAAGTTGAGAAAATTAACCATGAAGAATTAAAACTCTAAGTCAAGTGCTGATGTCTGACTTGCTTAGATAGTTACGGGCTTTAAGAAGTTGGAAATTCTGGGGCAGAAAAATGGGTTTCGAGTTGAGTTTTATATCCTAGCATGTGCACAGTGATATATGGGGACCTCGTATGATTACTGAGGACATGTTTTGAGTCACAACATTTCATGGTATGCTGTGTGTCACTCAGGAAACGAAGGAGTTGAGTGGCCATAAGAACACAATGAAGTAGGATTGTGCTCACTGCAGAAGTGTAGGGGCTCTGTGGCCATGGCAGTAGTTTTCTAACCCCTGGATTGTAGGTTGTCACAAAAACGGAAGGCCGTCCCAGCCAGGCGTAGGAGTCCCTTCTTCCTCCCACTCAACAAGCTATTTACTGCAAACCATACACCTGGTTGGGGTGGCCAACTTCTTGGAGGGCTGATCAGAGCGCCAGCCTTGGTTCTCAGAGCCCCCTCAGGACACAGTCCTCTATCTACCCCCCAGGTGTGGGAGGAGGCAGGTCTCTGGAGGTGGGAGGGGTTTAGCTGAGCTTTGACTGCTTGAAAGAGGGTCCCATGTGGAGATGGAGGGAGTGAGGAAGGAATATTCCACATGAAAGAAGGACCATGAGTGCGCTCCCTGGGAGGCACCAGACACCAACGGGATGTAGTCATCTATCTGCTTCTGTTGGCTTTGTTTTCCTTTATTAAGTTCAGTCAGGCCCTGCTCAGGGACAGGCCGTTTAGGAGCCTGAAGCTGCAGTTACACACTGCTCACCTCAGAAGAAAGGCCAGTTCTAAGGCTGGAGAATGACCTCTGCCTGCAGGTGGCGGGTCTGGTAGTATGTGCTCTCATATTTGAATGTCGGGCAAGTGATGTATCTGGACTGGCGGTGTAGCTTACTGGTAACTGGAATTATTGATCAAGTTCAGAGCTATTACAGTATTATTAGATTCCATTTTATGAAATTGCCAATAATCAACAGGTTTGGACATGCAAGAATGGCTATTACATGTGGTTCAACCTAACATATGCAGGCAAACATTCTTATAAAGGGAGTGAAAATACCTTTGTAAGAATATGTTTATGGTACTGCACCTAAAAGGAATTTAAGAATACTGGAATGTAAACAAAACCAGGTGTTTAGCCAAGCGGGTGTGGCTCAGTGGTTGAGCATCAACCTATGAATCAGGAGGTCGTGGTTCGATTCCTGGTCAGGGCACATGCCTGGGTTGCAGGCTGGATCCCCAGTGTGGGGCGTGAAGGAGGCAGCCGATCAGTGATTCTCTCTCATCATTGACGTTTCTATCTCTCGCTCCCTCTCCCTTCCTCTCTAAAATCAATAAAGATATATTAAACACAAAACCAAAAAAAACCCAGATGTTGAATGCCACTGCTCTTACAAACTGTGACTAATAATGGCAAAGACGTCAACTGTACACCATGAAAAGATGAGTTGCTAACCTGCAATCCGCTAACTGTGGCTTTGGCATGAAGGAGCCATGCACGAGAATCTTAAAAACTCTTTGGAGCTCATGCCTTGTGCTCCACCGGCTCTCACATAGTCCCATGATCTCTCATCTAGGATGCGGGAAACTGAACACCACACCCTTTCAGGTTCCAACCACGTGAATGCTGGATTCTTTGTCAGGGTCCTGACACAGTAAGAAGTACCAAGTCCCCACCTCCAAGGCTGTTTTCAGAAAGATGGCCCATGCAGCTCCATCTAGAGCAGTGATGGCGAACCTATGACACGTGTGTCAGAGGTGACACGCGAACTCATTTTTTTGGTGGATTTTTCTTTGCTAAATGGCATTTAAATATATAAAATAAATATCAAAAATATAAGTCTTTGTTTTACTATGGTTGCAAATATCAAAAAATTTCTCTATGTGACATGGCCCCAGAGTTAAGTTAGGGTTTTTCAAAATGCTGACACGCCGAGCTCAAAAGGTTCGCCATCACTGGTCTAGAGACCTTTAAACATATCTGACTGTTCTTTTTCTAAATTACGTCAACGTTTAAAGGAAGTTCTCTCTTTTGCTTACCTCTGGTTTTGAAGTTCTGGAAATATGTGACCACACATGTGGTTACATGTCTTGCTACCAAATTGATTTCATTTGGACCCAGTTCATGATCAGCAAAAGCAATGACTTCAAATTCTTTCACAGTCTTTACCTTTGGGTCGCTCTTCTCCCACTTTTGCAATAAAGAAAAGTCTCCCCTGCTGGCTTCTGGGTTTTTGCTTCTTCCTCTGGGGACGCAGCGGGTCCTGTCACCCCACGTGGCAAACACACTTTTCTTCTCCTCCTTTTGTCCTGCAGGGCTTGGTGTGGATATGAAAAATGGCTTCATTGTCTCTGTGCTTTCGTTAATGGGTGGTTGACTAGGAAACCCATAGCTTGACAACACAGTATTGACAATATTCTCTGCCGCTAAACATATCTTGAGTGGAGAAACAGTTGTCTGAGTTTGGTTAGGCCCACCAACGGGCTTTGGGGTCCCATAATGAAACACTTTTGGGTTTTTAGCTTTTCGCATTTCTATGAAGGACAGGCCTTGCTTCAGTGCTTCTTCTGTGGACTCAGTCACCCGGTTAGCCAGTTTTTGTAAGATACTGCCTTCGGGCGTGGCTTGATCACATGACCATTCCCTGGGGCCGTGGCCTGGGACCTTGTTTCTAGAGGAGGATGGCGCATTCCCTGAGTCAGGCCTTCCCCTGGGCTCCGAGCTTCTGACCGGGCCTTCTCCGGGGGCTCTGGCATATGAAGGTACGTTGGGTGGGCCCCTGCACCTTTTCTTCGTGTCGTCTTCAGGATCAAACACCAAACCAGGAATGCTAACCCGTGGAGGAGGCCCATTCCCAAAATGAACTTCCTTTGACTTGGGGATTTTCATATCAGTGGTGAATGCAAGATGATTAACAATGTAGGTATTTTCCACTCCTGGGAACAGACTGGGGAGGTTTTTGATCAGAGACTCGCTGACGTGCGTGCACTGGTCCATCAGTGCGCCGATGATCTCGCTCGCCGCCACATTCTCCTGCAGCGTGCTGCCCGGCGGCTCCGCTTGGCCTATTTCCTTGTCCAGCTTGTCCTTGAGGACACCCAGCATGTCGCTGGTGATGGTCACAGCGCAGGTAAGCAATTCTGAATGGAATGAGTGGACCTGCAGAAAAACGTTCTGTACATTTTCCTTGGAAATCATAGCACTGGACCTGCAGTCATCAGCAAGCTTTTTCAGCGACTGCAGTTTGGGCAACATCTTTTTGCTTAGCAGTCTCTGCTGGGCCGGAAACAGGTTTTCTACCGGCATCTTCACTATTTCGGAAAATTCGTACATGCAGGTGTGTTTGAACTGCAGGTCTACAAACGCCTCCAGCATGCCCAGCACCCTTTCCACAATGTCTAGGACAACCTGCTTGGTGGAGCCCAGAGACATGTGGTCCTTCGCGTCCATGTAGTAGATGGGCGCACCGCTGAGGACGTCCTTGGCTGGAAGGCCGTGTTTGCTCTGAGCGGCGTGTACCTTCCTACTTGCTGGAGTTTCCTTACTGTCCGGGGTGGGCATCTGGGACAGAAAGCACAGCTGTAGTTTCTCAAGGAGCATTTCAACGATCTCCCTCGAGAACATGTTGATTTGTGCCTTGGTGGCCTCCGCTCGCACCGATGTTCCTTTAAGGCGGTTATGGAGCCTGCTTTCCCAGTCCTCGGGGTACGTCAGATTTAAGAGGGAAAGATAATATTCTAATTCCTTCGATTTCATTGAAATGACAGTCAAAACATTTTCAGCCACTACCAGCAAGTTACATTTTTCACTTTCCATGTCATTTGCTTCTGCCTGCCATTTGTCAAACATTCTTTTAAATATCCCGTCCTTGGGAAAGATCTGCTCGAGTTGGGAAGAGACATTTTCCAAGTAGAAGCAGGCCTGCGTCTCAGCGAAGCCCCCCGCGCCCGGGCGCCCCGGGGAAGGCTGGAGGTCGGCCGGAGCCGAGAACGTGCTCGGAGCGGCCAGGCTGTGGGTGCCCGGCGCGCACACCCCTTGCAGGACGGCGCGAACGATCCTGTTTGCTGCCCCGATTTGGTCAAACGGCAACGCCTTCGCACTGACCATGGCTCTCGTTTGCGTGGCCTTTTCAAACTCGGTCACGGTCGCCTCCAGGATCATGCTGGTCACGTGCGTGGCGTGCGCCCTCAGGTCTGCGGCGGGCAGCCTGGCGCCCCGCGTGCCCTTGGCGTCCCCGGCGGTGAGCGTGTGCGGCAGCCCCAGGCAGGTCTTGGACTGGCTGCTCCTCAGAGTCCTCTCCCCGGGCCCCACCTTGGTCTTGCTTCTGGCCTTAGCACCGCCAGGGCCCAGGGGCAGCTTTGTCTTCAAATTAGGCAGAGAAGTCACTTTTGCCTTTGCTTTTACACTTGTTTTAAAACCTGGCTGGAGGCTGCCCTTCAGGTTCACTTTAAGGCTCTGGAGCCTTTGAGGCTGCAGCTCATCAGCACATCTTTCAGGGGCCTCTTCCAGGTAAACTGAGGCAAAATGTGTGATCTTATCTAGCACCGTTTGGACCAACTCCTTCCCCACCTGCAGCGGCGAGTGCTGCTGGAAACTGCTTTCGAACAGGGGGGTGTTTGGGTCGCCTGGGGAAGGATAGGCCTGTGGCGTCACGTACCCCGTGGAATTACTTCCTCTCCCGGCTTGTTTCGCTTCTCCCACGCACGACGGTGGCTGAGGGAAGGGGCCATTGTCTTCGACGGCTTCCTTTTGGTGACTCTCACGTAAGGAGGTCACAACCACAGCGTACATTTCCCCCAACACACTCTCAACTATGTCGTTGGCTACGCCGTTAATGTGGGACTGGACGAAGTTTCTGTGCGCTACGTCTGATGTTCTAGCTTTAGAGTTAGATGCCACCTGGGGGGTTTCATTGAATGGAGGCAGGTGGCCTTTGCTTTTCGTTACTTGTTGGTGCACTTTCCTTAAAACCTCTCTCACTGGAGCGAGCAAGGCAGCCCTTTCTTTGTGTTTGGAGTCCCCGTGTCTCATAAATATTTCTTCCAAAACAACGCTCTGGCTCTCCTTCCCCACTGTCCGTTGGTTTTGTTCGAATGGGTACCGTGAAAACAGAGATAACTTGGTGTTTTGGTCCAGCTCTCTTTGTCCTAACAGCATTTCCTTGGGTACAGCTAACGGTGCAAATGCGCCAGGATGGTCTTTTGCGTAAAACTGAACTTCATTTACAGACCTCTTAGCGTTCAAAACCTTTAAGGTGTTGTTGACAATCTCACTCACAATGACGTTTTCCTGGAAGGAAATATTGTTTGGATATAGATATGCCCTTTGGATTTCCAGGTCCAAGTCGTTTTTAATAAGCTTCAGAATGACACTGGCGATGACATCCGCGTATTCCTTAAGGCTGGCTTGGGAGAGGTGACTGGTGGATCCCCGTTTTTGTCCGTAACTCAGAAACGCGGGATCTGCAAGTTTGTGGCTGAGAGCAGTTTCTGTTGATAGTTTCAGGACGTTCACATTGGACGCCCTTTGGCTGGGCTCACGAAAAACGCCGTCCTCGGGCTCACCGGGCTCCAGGCCAGGGCTAGCAAAGGACTTCTCTGTGGGCTGGGAAGCAAGAGTAATTAATGAGTCTATTCTTTTGGTGGCGAAAGATTCCAGCTGGTTGACGATAGTTTTGGTGATGAAGTGAGCGTTTTCCTCACAGGGGTCAGGGGCGGGCCTTGTGGGGTCTTCCCTCCCTACCACAGTTATCTGACTCGCCACAGCGTACGCGGGCCTCACATGGTTTGACGATGAAAAACGCTCTGTGTCTCCTCCACTCTGTGAGCCCGTGAGCGGGGGCAGCTGGCACCCTATTTGTGGGAACACATCACAGGAGGGAAGGGGCAGCCGTGCCGGAGGAGCGTGCTCTGGTTTTGTGCCGAACGTGACGGCGGAGCTGAGGTTATGAAGGACAAGGTCCACGATGTCGTTGGAGATCAGCATGACGTCCGACTTGGGGACAGGAAGTGGTGGGACGATCGCGTTGTCACCCTCCATGGACAGCCCGGCGGCGAGGCCTCTCGGCGTGGGCGTGGCGAAGGCCAGGTTGTTTTGATGCAGCGTTTTTTCATAAATGTCGCACAGGATGCCTTCCATGACATCCTGTATTTGGAACTGAAGCCCTTTGCGATACTCAGTCCTGTTGAACATCCTTTCAATGACGCCTTCCTGCAGACCCGAGTGAAGCTCTTCGTCAGAATCGTGTTTGTCAAACTTGCCTTTGGACGAGACGATCTCTAACACCGTGTTCACGATCTGACTCGCGATCCCTTCAGAAACCACGATGTTGTGCGTTAAGAAAGGACTTTCCCTTTCTTTATCTAACTCGTGTTTGATGCCTTGTAAAATTTTTCTGGCCACTTCTGTTGCGTGTGTGTTTAGTTTGTTTAAAGAAAGTTGGCACGAGTTGGTCTTTTCCAGAAAATGATCCACGGAGCAGGGAGAAAACCCATCGTCCGGATACAGGCCCTTGGCGGACAACGCTTTGCTCAAAATGCTCTTACCTTGCTGCACAGGGAAAGCCACTGGGACCGTGAACTTGATTTGGGGACAAAAGAGAGATTTTACTTTGTAAGTAGCAAAGGTTTCTAGGTTTGTTAGTATCTCCTGGATGATGTCTTCAGCCACGTTTCCTTTGGCGTTGAGTCTGGGCGGGACAGGACATGGATTTCCATCCAGCACAGTGACTGAAGACTGTTCCGCGCAGGCGGGGACGTGAAAAGAAACATTCGCTGAAAAGGTGATGGTTTTGTACCTGTTTTCACCGGCGTTTCTCTGTGTCATGGCCGCTGCGTAAAGCTTATGCAGCACAGTTGTGACCACGTCACCCACCACGATGGTGACGTCGGCCTCGGACACCAAGGGGCCCGTCCTTTGGTCGATGAAGGGGACCCACGTCGGCGCCAGGGGCTCGCCATCCACATCATGCGGGGCGCCCCCCAGCGGAGGGCAGGAGAGAGAAAGCACGTTTAATTGGTTGACCAGAGCCCCTTGGAAAATCTCGTTCAAAATGTTCCTGATGATGGGCACGATGGGAGATTTCTGTGGCTCCTTCAGTTTCCCTTCAATTTTGTTTAGGGTCCTTTCCAGAACCCACTGTTTTAGAGAACCCGGTTGCGTTTCTCCCCTCGGGAGGGTTCCCTCAGCTCCGAATTCCTTCTCCGCAGGTGCATCGTCTTCTAGACACGGGTCTGGCTCGGCCCCTCCGGGCAGGAAGTTCCCGTAGGTCGGCCGGTACCCGCAGGATTCCATGGTTCTCTCTTCGGATTCGGTGTCGTCCAGCACATCTGAGGACACCACATCTAAAATCAAGTTGATCACATTCTTCAGAAGCTGTTTCTCCGGGGAAGGGCTCTTGGCGCTGGCCCGCAGGTCCCCGGGGCTCCCACCGAGCTCCGTCTGGATGGCCTTCAGGATGGTGCCGGACGCCTTCTTAGCGTGCATGTACAGCGCCGAGCGCAGCAGCTCCTCGCAGGCGTCCACGGCCTCGCTGGCGCCCTCGCACTGCAGGTCCACCTGGGCGCGGGTCTTGTGTCCCTTGCTGATGGGGTCCAGGGCTCCTAGGTTGCCACTGGCAAACCCTTCCAGCTTCGCAAACACCCCGTTGAGGATGTCGGTGGCCATGGCCGTCAGTCTGTTTGGATGCGTTTCTCTCGTGCTCCCTGTTTTGCAAGGCCCAGGAGCAGCGGTTTTCGCGTCCCTGTCCGTCTCCTCTCTGTTACTCTCCCGCAGCATCCTGGACACGATGCCGGAGATGATGTCGGTGCACTTGGCCATTTCCTCAATGATCGACTTGAACGATAGGTTATCGATATCCGGGCACTCGGAGGCAGCTGTCATCCCAGAACCCGCGCAGCTGGTGTCCGCGTCGACCCTGCACAGCTTCGCGAGGATGCCGTCCAGGATGGTCTGGGAGAGGAGCTGGAGGTTAGGCTGCAGCTTCGTGGCCACTCCCCGGTTCTCACTCGTCTTCTCTCGGGGCGGCTGGCCCTCCGGGCGGGCTCCCAGGAGCTTGCACAGCATCTCGTACAGGGTTTCCCCAATGCTGTCCAGCACTTGCAGTTTGCCCTTGTCTTTGAGGTCTTTTCCACGGGGGTCACTGTGGATGGCACATGGAGTCGCCAGGTATTGGTAAAAAGCTTGTTTCTCCTGCCGACTTGGAAGCATGGATGGTTTGCCAACACCGTCCGGCCCACACGCCACCGAAGGCCTTGGCTCTTTGGGAGGGAGGGAGACGCTGCTCCGGTCGGAATGTGCGCTTGACAACATCTCGCAAATGCAAGTCAGCAATGGGGAGGCCTTGATGTCCTTGTTGAGATCCGCGTCGTCAGTGTCAGCCGAGAACTCTCTGCCTGGGAGGGGCTTGCTGTCGTCGGCTTCCCGCGGGCTCTGGCTTTTCTGATCGAGTTCCAGCTCGTTCTGGATCGCTTGCAGAACGATGCCCACCACCTTGGTCGTGTAGGCGCTCAGCTGGTGGTGCAGCGAGGACGGCTCTGTGCAGGGCGGTGTGGAGCCCACTTGCAGTTTTGGGTAAATGAGTCCCTTCAGCTTCTTGAACACCGTGTCAATGATGTCCTCCGAGATGTCATCTACAGCCTTCGGCTCACATGTCTCAGACCCAAACGGGGAAGGGGTTCCAGGGCCTACATCAAGTGAAGACAAATACTTCACTTTCTTCTCACTGTCAAACCATATTTTCAGAGGTTTTTTATGTGGCGCCTCTTTGGCCACGTCAGGAGTGTGAGAACGGCCCAGTGGAGTCTGACGCCTCGCGGGTAGGATGGAACTTTTGGGGGTGCCGGGGATGCGGTTCAGTGCCTCGTGGAGGATGTTGATCACGGCCTCTGTTATGTCCTGAGCCACCGTGTTAACTTCTCCCACGGAGAACAGCTGGTCCCACTGGCCCTGAGCCGGCAGCCCTCGAGGCTTCCCGGAGAGGAGAACTGTGGTGTCCTTGCCAGCTCTCCTGCCTGAGGGGCGCGGAGGAGGAGGCTGCTCCTTGAGCATCTCCGTCAAAATGCCTTTGATCACGTTTGCTGACGCCTCTTGTATTTGGTGCCTTTGGTCTTGGCTGAAGGTCAGCGTGTCTTTATTCGAGCAGATTTTTCCCTTTAAAACTTCTTTCTTGTGAACACTTGACCCCTCGGTCTTGGATCCCTCGCAAAACACGACTTTGCTTCTGAGAGAAGCGGGCCGTGGGGGCAGTTTGCTGTTTCTGTCCAAACGCGCGCTCCTCCCTGTGAACCAGCACTCGGGGTCCTGCTCCTGCGATCTCGCCTTCTCGTTCCTCAAAGAGGAGTCCAGCGCGTTCTCCACGATCCTGTCTATCTCCTCGCTGTCGTCATCGGAGTACAGGACCATGCCCGGCACATTGATGGGCGGCAGCGGCTTCCGCGGCCGGGAGCCACTGGCCAGCGTGGTGCCGGCCAGCCGGTACTTCTCCTCCGTGTCAGGAGGGTGTCTGGGCCGGGGGCGTCTGCCCTTCGGCGCCTCAGCCTTGACCGGCTCCTGGTGCAGCTGCGTGAAGATGTCGTCCAGCAGCCGGAGAAAGACCACCGTTTCCTCAGACGCCACCAGCCGCTCGTTGTTCAGTTCGGTTTGGACGTAGCCGAGGATGGTGCTGATGGCTTCCTCGATGTAGCCCACCAGCGAGGACTGGGCAAAGATGCTGGAGATCAAACTCTGTATTTCCTCCTTAACCAGGAAGTTGGCCCTGTCGGGCTCGGGGCCCCCTCTCTTGGCGTCGGCTCTCTGCAGGGACGTGCCCACGGGGCCGGGCATGCGCTGCTGAGAGGGGGGCTTCGCCACGGACGCCAGGTGGGGAGGCTCGTCCTGCTTACCCGATGCCAGAGCCATCAGCTTCTTCAGGATGTCCTGCACCATGTCCTCGGCCACGTCGCACATGGGCTCCCCGGGCTGCGGCAGGGGGGCCGACGGGGGTCTCCAGCTCGGCGGGCGGGGGCCTTCTCCGATGGGCAGGAAGCTTGGCGTCATGTCAGCCGGCCAATCTTCCTGCGAAAACATCTCCACGCACTTTTTCTCGACGGCGGACTGGAGCGTCTCGAGCATGTTTTCCACGATCTCGGAAGCCACGGAGCTGATGTCCACGTTGGAGAGAACGTCTCCTAGTTCGGGCTCACTTGGTTCAATGAAAACCTCGGCGGTGACGGAAGAAATGGCGGGAATGGCCTGCGTTAGGTCGGACATGATTTCCTGGAAGACGCTCTCTAAAATCAGCTCCGTTTCCCCTTTCAGGTGGCACTTAAAGTTCACAAAGATCTTCTCCAAGTTCTTGATTTCAGCTCTGGCTTTTTGCTTCGGAAGCAGCGGGCCCTCCAGGCCGTCCGTCTCCGTGGTGGCATCCTTGGACTTCTGTGCGCCTCCCTGGATAAAGGCCAGGAGGTGGCTGTCAGACTTGCAGCTTCTGAGCTTGGGGCGGACATAGACCCCGGTGGCTGTCTTATATGTGAGGGTCGTGGTCACGGGTGGGCCGTCCGTGCTGTAGGTCTTCTCGACCACCGTTCTCTCCACGTGCGCAGAAGGCGGGCCTTCCGCGTGGTAGGTCTTCTCGACCACCGTCCGCTCTATGTGGGCGGAAGGGGGGCCTTCCGTGTGGTAGGTCTTCTCGACCACCGTCCGCTCCACGTGGGCAGAGAGCGGCTCCAGCGGCGTGGGCGGGTGCCGGACCGCGATGTCCACGGCGAAGGCACGGGGCTCCCCGGGGAAGGTCTTGGTGGTGGCCGTGGTGTAGCTGCCGTAGGCGAAGCCCTCGCTGCAGGTGCTGCAGAAGCTGGAGCTCTCCGAAGACAGGGTGGACTCCGCGCCCCTGGGGTACACCTGGCTTTGCAGCCTCTCCTCATACCTGGTGATGGCTGGGTACAGGATGCTGGTCACTGTGGCCACCACCCAGGCCATTATGTTCTGAAGTATACTGTTCAGCTCGTCGGAAGTCACCTGGGAGGGAGCAGGCAGGAAGGAAAGGAAAGTCATGGAGCCACTCTCTCCCTTCTGGGAGAGAGGGTAGTGTTTACCCGTTTTTATAACAAGCCGTGCATCGCTGCATGTCATCGTGGTCATAAAGAGAATAGGTACAGAATCTTTTGAAACCTTCTGATTAATTTCTAGTTGGTTCCATCTGTTCTACCATAAAATACTTTTATATATGTTTCCATTTGATTCACATTCCTGCTGAACTCTCCCTGACCCCAACATTTTATTTTGCTGCGATAGATGACTTTTTGATTAAAAAGAAAGGAAGAAAGAAAGAAAGTCACCAAATTGCTCTCTAGAATCCTAACATGCAAGTATTTTAGCAAGAAGAGCATCGTGTCTACGACCCAGCAGATTTCTAAAAGGACACCAGATTATTTCTAACACAGTATTTTCAAAACTGATGTTGTCAAAACACGTGGGTGCCTGTAGAAGCACCTGCCTAGCTAACATGAGAGGATGGAAAATATTTCGTCTCTCTGCCCCATTCCTTGATGCAGGGATGAGCCTGTGATCTGTGAGTGACTACAGCTCGTTGTCAAGGGTTATTTGGTAGAAAACCTAGAGTTAATGCTTTGTGGAGATTGAATGCCTTTGTACCCAACAAGAGAGTATCAGTGCAGTGTGTCTTGGGTAGGAAGGCTGAGCAAAGATGATGCAATGGAGGCACTATTAGCTTAGATAGATCACAAGGGCCGAGCTAGAACTGGGTCTGTAAGAGTCAGGAGGGCTGAGCCAGGGTCGGGAGTTGGAGAACTTCTCCTTTTGAGCTGGAAATATAAACCAAAGGATGGCCATTTCCTCAGAGGTCAGGACCAAGAGTAGAAGCAGAACACTCTACGTGCCTCTGATTACTGAGAATCTCCTTTGGGCTTGCAAAATCTCGATGTGTTGCCTGTCGTAAACTAGTAGACTGTTTTTAAATTGTTGTTACTTTTAAGACATAAAGGCTGCAAACAGGAATTGGCAGCAAAGCATGCAAGGCTTTGTACAGGTACAAGGTGAACAATAGGATTCTTGTAATGAGGCTGTTCACGTCCCCAACATTGCCTGACGTTAGCATGGCATTCTCCATGTTTCAGGCCAACATTCAACGAAAAGGTAACACATACATAGCATACTCTCTCCTGATGCATTTGAGAGTGTTTGGAGGCACCCCAGGGACGGCCATTTTTTTTCCTGCTCTAATCATTTTAATTTCCTAGAGATACTTTTTCGCTGATTGTACAACATCTGTTGGATGACAGCATATGTTGCATAATACTTGTCTCATATAATCGTATCCTAAATCAACTACATTAAGAATAAAATCTAAATTTTCACAGAGGAAGTAATTGTCCTAATCCACTAACACATACAAACTAAGACATTCAATATACGTGTATATTGTGTTTCTTATAATCAGAGGTAATAGGCCACAGATCTGCAGTGTCATTCTTTGGCTAGGTGGGAGGAAGTGTTTCCAACCTTGAGATGCGAAAAAGAGATATCCCTAAAGTTTTCTGTGTGGTGAACTATGGAAAATAGACTCTAGTTTTCAGTTGCATTCTATTCCATTACGATATTAAGCTGCGAAATATTCCCTGGAATCAAAGCTTTTGTATTTGCTCCACTTACTATCGACTGCGCAGGTGTCCAGGTGGTAAAAGCATGCCAGAATATGTGTTGTTCTTTCCTACCTGGTTGTGACTTACAAACCTACCCTCCTATCTGTCTGCTGCACGCCTCAGTTCGTGGGTGACCAGCTGCCTTTTTATGTGACTTTCATGGGTGACTAGCCCTCTTCCTATGAAAATGGCGAGGGACAGACCCATCCCAGCCTATCAGTCAAGTCTGCACTAATGGTTTCCCACGGGAGAGGGGGTGTGTGTGTCTGATGATGTCCTTATAATGGCAGGTCCCTTCTGTCCCCATGAGACCCCCTCCTGCAAGGCCAGCATCCCCTTTGGTGAGAACTCTGGACCCCTGCAAAATCCAAGAATTAACCAAAAGAAAGCATTAAAGAAGAAAATAAGGGCAAAGAGAGAGACGGATAGCCATAGAGGATTACTCATCATTTGATTCACAGCTCTTTTCCTATTATGACACAGTAGAAAGTATTATTAATTTGTTACTTTATCAATGGATTTTATGATACGTACTTTTTTTTGTAGATGATTCTGTCGTCTGTAAAGTCAAGAAAGGGGATCATTGAGTTATTACTTAAGGCCAAAAATCTATGGAAACTTTTCTAAAATTTCTGATCATTTCTGATCAGTGTCTCCCCATTATATCTGAGAGCTTTTCTACAGAAACTCAAAAGGAAGAATAAACTTTACTTTTGTCAACCCACCTCCAAGACCCACCCATTTCTCCTCCTCCTCCTGTACTGACCCACATGCTTTATTACTCAGAGGAGTAATAGAACATACCTGTATAAACTGCATAAAACACACGTCTGCCTGAAAATCCCACAGGGAGAGTGTGGGGCCACGGAGAGGAAAGGCGGACGGGGAAGGAAGAACATCCCCCTTGTCTACTCCAGCATTTGAGCTTAGTGCTGAGCGGAACCCGAAGACAGAACCTTCACTGCATCCCGGTGGCACAGCACCATTCACTGTGGACTGGAGCTTGTGTCATTATGAAAATATTAATTTACAATGACACACGAATGTCCTTAGATACTTACATGTCTGTGAAAAATTGTGGAGGGAAAGCATTTGGGACTGGGTCAGGATCCTGTAGTCCTGTTTATCAGAAAAAGAGAATTATAGTTGGTACCCTTCCCTAGCAACTTACACACTACAATTATGCCCCTGCAGTGGGTGTTTATTCTCTGTTGTCCTGGCCTAGTTTTAAAGTCTGCAGAAATTCACTGCCATGAAGCGCCAACCCTCCTTTAGCAAGGCATAGCATGCACCCCACACTCTGCTGTTCTGACCTCCCTGGGCAGTGTGCCCTTGGCTGGTCTTTCCGGTATAGACTGTGGTCCAAACACACAGAAACGCTTATAACTCCCTCATGGACTCCCTCTCCGTGCCTCCGAGTCCTGGTTGTGCTGCGTCCTTTGCCGGGAAGACCCTCTGCCTTCCTGTAACGTGTCTCAGGTCTCACTCAGCCTGCGTTGGCCTCCCGGGAAGCCTTGCTCACCATCTGCGGCGTCAGTAAATCTCCGGCTGTTTCTCTACTTGCCCTGATGTGTGTGCACACGCACCGTCTTTACCGCACTTATTGTATCGTGCGCCGTTATCGGCAGGCCTGTCCCCCCACTTCACGGGCACAGCCCTGGGTGAGAACCCTGGGTTTTCTTCATTCAGCCCCAGACCCGGCACGAATTGGAGCCCAGTAAGTGTTGGTGGAAAGGATGAGTGAAAAAACTGCGTGTTTACCCAGTGGCTGGGCTGGTGTTTACCTGCGTCGTAGCCATAGCTCGCTCTCCTGTTTTGTCTTTTATTCCAAGCAGCGTTTATGTCCTTCTGTGTAACCAACCAGCAAAACAAACAGATATCCTCAGAGGGTTCCCCAGGATTGGAGCATCAGCTAAATCTATATACTTCCCTGCAGAAATCTAGGATTTGGAGAACATCCCTTACATGTCAGTTTTTAAGATGTGTGCCATTGTGTGCTGTTGCAATCACATCTGTCACTTAGACAGAGTTTGAAACAGCACAGTTGCATCATAGGAGGGCCACAAGAGCACTCACCCACTTGGTGACCTGTTAAGCCACTGGGACTCAGAATGTGTGTGTACTCACATCTAAGATTTATTACAAAAAGACCCCCTGTAGGACCAGTCAGGGGGAAGACACGGGCGGGTCTGGGGAACTCCACGCACAGTGGCCCTCGTGCTCTCTCTCCTGCGGGAGGACCTGGCTTGAACCTGTTCTCTTCTCCAGCAATGAAAAACGCCGAACCGAGTCAGTGTTCTGGGGTAATCCATGAGAAATTCAGCGCTCAGGGCTCTGATTGAAGACCCCCTGCCTTCGTGCAGAGCAAATTCCCACTTCCCCGAAGGCAGTCAGGTGCTCAGCAAAAATGCCATTCTTTCCAGAGGCGAGACTGCCCCAATGCCGCCCTCGCCAGGAGGAAGCGCTGTGTCCAGCAGGGATGTTAGAAAGCCCGTTCCCCAGCACCCGCCCGAGGCCGGCCCTGCCAGCTGAGGTAACTGCCTGCAGCTGGCTCTGGCAGCTCCCCTCTGCATGGTCCCTTTGCGAACGACATGCTTTTATACAAAGGATGGTCTTAAAATGGTACCTCATTCAATACGTTTGTACGTGGGGCAAAAGAAATGTTGTATTCGTCAACTTTTGTAGGCCCCAAGTAAGACTGTGAAGATTTGTGAAAATTTCTTGTGGGTGAATTCTGAGCGGAAAGAAGAGTGTCTGGAGCTGAGGTGTACGCGGCACCTAGAAAGAAAAAGCGATGCTTTTACACAGAGCAGGCCAGACTGCTGGAGCAGGGGTGAGTGGACTGGTGTTAATCCTCACCTGAGAGTATTTTCCCGCTGGTTTTTAGAGAGAGTGGAAGGGAAGAGCCAGAGCGAGAGAAACATCCATGTGAGAGAGACATATCGATTGGTGACCCCCCACATTCGCCATCCCCACCTAGGCATGTGCCCTTGACCGGAATTGAACCCCTGCTGGTGAACACTCTATCCACTAAGCCAGTGGTCAGCAAACTGTGGCTCGTGAGCCACATGTGGCTCTTTGGCCCCTCGAGTGTGGCTCTTCCACAAAATACCACGTGTGGGCGCGCACATACAGTGTGATTGAAACTTCGTGGCCCATGCACAGAAGTCAGTATTTTGTGGAAGAGCCACACTCAAGGGGCCAAAGAGCCGCACGTGGCTCGCGAGCCGCAGTTTGCCGACCACTAGGCCTGGGTGAATATTCATGAGTAGAATTGATCCAGTGTTCTCCCTGCTGAGCTATTACAGTCACTGGATTACCATATGGGGGATTTGTCTGAGTTAAGGAAGTATCTAAAATAAATAGTATGCAAAATAAAATAAAATACAGTGAAATGATAGCATGGCCTTTTTTGATGTTCACTGACTACAGATTTCCAGTGGTTCACCATCGGTTCCAAGGAAAAGTCTCAAATCTTTAACTTCTGTTCCTAATTTATTTAATATTATGACCAGCTTAATCCCTATAACTAACCACAGACCATGGCCTGGAACACTTTTCACTTCATTCAGTCTGCAATGAAAAACTTCTAACAACTTGAATGACCAAAGCTGTTGGGTTTTTGTTGTTGTTGTTCTTGTGTTTTTTCAAAAATACATTTTCATTGATTTAAGAGAGGAAGGGAGAGGGAGAGAGAGAGAGATAGAAACTTCCATGATGAGTGAAAATCATGGATCAGCTGTCTCCTGCACGCCCCACACTGGGCATGTGCCCTGACTCGGAATCGAACCATAACCTCCTGGTTCATAGGTCGACACTCAACCACTGAACCACGCCAGCTGGGCCCAAGGCTGTTTTCTTAGGAAGAACGCTTTCACTGCAAATGCATGGTGCATGAGGAGGAGGAGGAAGAGCGGGAGGAAGGGGACTAGCATTGGGCAGGAGCTGTAAGAATGGAGCAGAGGAGAGGGCCAGGGAAATAAAGAGGGCAGATTGGACAGAGAGAGACAGCTTTGGGATGCAAACTACAAGAAAGAGGAAGAGTCCAAGATAACTCGGTTTTGTTCCTGGGTGAAACTGGGTCAGGAAGATGATGCATTTGACTGTATTGAATTTGAGGTCATCATTGGCCACTGGATGGAGATGTGTGATATTTTCGGCTTGTATATTTAGATATGTGTAAGGAAGGAACTTTTTAGGGACTTCCAGAAATCTAACAAGACACATAAAAACTTTTATTATTATTATTATTATTATTATTATTATTATTATTTTGCCCTAGCTGGTTTGGCTCAGTGGATAGAGCATTGGCCTCTGGACTGAAGGGTCCCAGCTTCGAATCTGGTCAAGGGCACATGCCCAGTAGGGGTCGTGCAGGAGACAGCTAATCAATGAATCTCTCTCATCATTGATATTTCTCTCTCTCTCTCTCTCTCTCTCTCTCTCTCTCTCTCTCTCTCTCTCTCTCTCCCTTACCCTTCCACTCTGAAGGCAATAAAAATGTATTTTTTAAAAAACACACCAAAACCTTTATTGTTGAGAGTATTACAGATATCCCCCACCCCCATTACTTCCCTCTACCCAGTTCCCACCCCACCCCAGGCCTTCACCACCCTATTTTTTGTGTCAGAGGTAATGCATACATGCATATGTTCTTTGGTTAATCTCCTCCTGCCCTGCCTTCCCTCTAAATATTTCTTTTTTTAAAAAAATATATTTTATTGATTTTTCACAGAGAGGAAGGGAGAGGGATAGAGAGCTAGAAACATTGATGAGAGAGAAACATAAATCAGCTGCCTCCTGTACACTCCCCACGGGGGATGTGCCTGCAACCTAGGTACATGCCCTTGACCGGAATCGAACCTGGGACCCCTGAGTCCCCAGGCCGACGCTCTATCCACTAAGCCAAACTGGTTAGGGCCTAATTATTTCTTTAATGTACATTCCACTCAAGGGGGTATGGGAAATCGGAGGTGCTGTCTGGCGGGGGTTGCTGGCACTGCTTCCTGGGGACACAGTTCTTTACTGTAACCTGCTGAGCCATAAAGTGTCAGTAACTTACTCTGCCTGTTATGATACACAGCCATACTGGGACCCTCATTTCCACACTTGGCCAATTTCAAAAGCCACACTCACAAAGCAATCACTCAGGTATTTGGGCTAATTATAACATCTATAATCATTAACAATCTTACACCATGCTTTATTTTCTAAGATAACCACCATTTTTATAATAAGGTAAAACAAATAGCTTGAAAAACTATGATGAAACCATAATTATATTCTTAATAAACAACAAAACAATTATATTTTTTTCATTTTCTTACCTTTGCCATTGGTAATACTTGATTTTTTAGTTAGCAATCCATCTTTCTATGTGATACAACATTAAAGAGAAAAAAACATTTATTGGTGACTGTACTCGAAAAGAATTTGCCTTCTATGAACCAAATACAGATTTGTTTTCACCCCTTTATCTCCTAATTCTCTCATGAAAATTGTTTCAGGAACAATAGGTCTTACCAACTTTCTCGGACACCTTTCACGGGAATCTCAAATCTAACTATTTTGAAATTGAGTTCGGCATATAGCAATGTACAAATTTGTTCCTCTTCTAATATCCCATGTTTTATTTAAAGCATGGAGTCCATTCAATGGTCGGTTCTAAAAGTTTAGAGTCACTCAGTTTGTTTCAGGGAAAGATAATCCAATCTGCTCTAATCTAATCTAATGCTTAATGAACACATTGCTTAGAATCAAAATAAAATTCATCATCACAGAATCTCATTTTATTGTAAAAACATTTTACTGTGTCTCTGGCCTGCCAGACAAGGAGTTCTCAAGTGCCTGTCTCGCTTATCTTTGTATCCTGTGTGATCCCATTTTCTCATCCTCCCTTCCCTCTGGCTTAGCACAGAGCTTTGCCAACAGTAGATGCTCAGTAAATATTAGCTATGATTATAATTGCTAAATGTTTAATTAGGTTAGTTTCTCCTAAATTATAGAATGAGTTTACACAAAGGTAACTCAGCAGTGCCAAGGAAAAGGGTCAGATCTCAAGAACAGACCCTAATATTCCCAAATAGTCAGTGCCCTGCGAGTAGTGAAAGAGATAGTTCATAGAGGTGAAAGTTCGCTAGGTAAATTAATGTTCACCATACAAAAGTTGGGGACATCATTTCATACCTTTTGTTCAGTACTGTTATCGCGAAACATAGCTGGATTTGATGAGTTTCTGGTAATATTCTTGGATGTACTTGGAGATTGACGATCACCTATTGTCTGTTCTAAATGTAAATGAAAGAAAAAAAAAACACTAGGTTTTTTTTTTAAAACCCACAACACAACAAAACCCAACAACTTATTGAAGTGTGATTGAAGTATAAAAAACTGTACTTATTTAAGTTAAATGATTTTATCAATTTTAAAATGTCTATAGCTGTGAAACCATCACTGAAATCAAAATAACACTCCCAATACCCTCAAAAGATTTCACCCACATTTGTAGTCCACCCATCTTGCTCTTACCATCCCTGAACACTACTGCTCTGTGCCTCTCATACAATGTTATTTCACATTTCTAGAATTTTACATGAATGGAATCCTAGAGGATGTACTCTTATTTTTTGCCTGGCTTCTTTCACTTAACACAATGTCACATGTATTAAAATTTGTTCCTTTGTGTGTGTGTATGTGTGTGTGTGTGTGTGTGTATGTGTATGTAACTTTTAAGAAATGCCAAAGTGTCTTCCAAAGTGGTTTTACCATTTTACATACCATGTACCCAAGCAGCAGCCTTTTCCCTCTCATTGATGTTCCTATTTCTCTCCCCCGTGCCCGATAGGAACCACTGCACTTTCAGAATTCATCTTTTCGTGGAAAATTCCTCCCAACTAGACTTAAATTTATAGGTCCGATCCCCTGACAGTTGTCCCAGCTAGACTGGCAGCCTGGTGAGGCTGAAAACAAGATTTTACATCTAGCATCTTTTCGTTCAATACCACTGAGTTTGTTTTTATAAATATCAGTAAGACCAGCCTGGGCTGCATTAAACCCCTGAGTTTGAGAAGATCACTGTGGGTGAGATAATTGCTTTAGACATTGAGAATTTAGATTCAGGGTCTACATTTTAGTAGACGTGGGGCCAGTGGTGTCATCATTGTGTGTGTTGTAAGACCCCTTTGGTGTTTTATACAAAAGTCTTTGGAATTTAAAAGTGGGATCTGCCCTAGCTGGGTTGGCTCAGTGGATAGAGCGTCTACCTGTGGACTGAAGGGTCCCAGGTTCGATTCAGGTCAAGAGCACATGCCAGGGTTGCGGGCTCAATCCCCAGGAGGGGGTGTGCAGGAGGTAGCCCATCAATGATTCTCTCTCATCGTTGATGTTTCTCTCTCTCTCTCTCCCTCTTCCTTCCTCTCTGAAATCAATTAAAAATATATTTAAAAAAATAAAAATGGGATCCATGGGGCTTCAAGATGTATGACCTCGACTTCAGTGGTTCTGAGTGACACTAGGCTGCCCCCAAGGCAGCCCTGTCTCTTCCCAGGTTTCTGAATCCTGATGAGACTCATCGAATTACAGGCTCAGGGAGGAAAGAGTTTGGATTTTATTCTTTAGATGCTAACTGATAAGCACACAGGGACTTAACTGTCACATGTTACTTTCCCCCAGAAATTTAATTGTGGGAGGAGATCAGTGTTCCATTTTGAATAGTCTTGTGCTTTTGATCATGTATCATTTGGAGCAGTGGCCACCAACTGGTGGTCCGTGAGGCCCCAAAGGTTGGCAACAGCTGATTTGGAGGATGTTGCTGCCTCCTGCTGGGTTTGGGTGAGCTCTGACAGACACGTGACATAGTACGATATGAGATAAATAACTTCACAGTGGCTTTGCAGTTCACGTACTTAATTTATGACTCACTTCAGAGTTTCCTAAAATCGTTTTGAGTATTATAAAATTATTTTTCAATTTGTTAGGTTTCCTGTACCGTTTGTTTAATGGCGCTGAACCTTCACTGAATTTTTCTAAAATGATGCTATCGTGTTAAGTTTGAAACACTAAATCAGTAATTAGAGATCAAATTCTGGTAAGAAATCCTCTCAACCAGTCATTGGACAACAGAGAATAGAGGATGTATCTGCATTGAAGCAAAAGGGGCGTCTAAAGCCAGCCTTTTCCCAAATTACTCTTTAGTATTTCTTATCTCACTAATCAATTACCATAGCCTCCTTTATGTGGTTTTTGGTCGCCAACAGTGTAAATTGTCTTTATGTCTTCAGAAGCCTTCTTTTTCCTCATTGGAATATAAGCTTAAAGAAATGTAAGAAAACACTTATTTTTAATAATGGTGATGACAGAATTACCCAAGATAGACCCCCTTTTCCTGGCCTGAGGAATTAAATTCTATGCTAATTTCCAGTGGGCCAGTGGGGAGGCAATGAGGAGCTTGGGAGATGTGGAATGGAAGACAGACAACAGCTCTTGAAAGAGTATCCCTTCTGATCAAATGAGGGACAGAGCCCATGGACCCAGACAATAGGGTGGTGAAGACCTGGGGGTTGGGTACGGGGCGGGTGGAGGCAGGTAAATGGGAAACATCTATAATAATTTCAACAATAATACACACACACACACACACACACACACACACACATATATATATATATATGTATATATATATATATAATAAAAAAGAAGATGTGATATATATAAAATATGGACTATTATTTAGCCATAAAAAAGAATGAACTCTTGCTACTTGCAACCACATGGATGGACCTTGAGGGCATTACACTATGTAAGATAAGACAGACAGAGAAAGGCAAATATCAGATCATCTCTCTTCTGTGTGCAATCTAAAAGTAAGTAAGCCAAGTTCATAGATACAGAGAACAGGTTGGTGGTTGCCAGAGGCAGGGGTGGGGGGAGGGAGATATGCATGAATTATTATTTTTTTTAGTTTAAATAAAAAAAGAAAAAATAAATAAATGGGAGCCAGTGTTTTCTCCTGGACGAGAGGAGAGGCTACCCTAGCTCGAGTGGACAGTGTAGTTTCCTCTCTGTGGGGAGCGCACCAGCAGCCCAGCATGGCCACTGCAGTCCTGAGACGTGCCCATAGCCCAGCGTAGGCAGCCACATCCATACTTACCCCTTGTTTGTGACAGAGAAGATTCTACTAGCTCCTGGTCCTCACCATGTAAGGGGAGGGTCCTCATGGTGCACTCAGGGGGTTCGTTAGAGAGATGACAGCAGAGCCATCTGTCCCCACCAGAACAGATCCCCTCAATAGGCCCTTCCTGGCCTCTCTCTGTGCCCCTGGAGCCGTGTGCTTGGTGGGGGATGACATTACTACCGAGCTATGCTTTCATGTCATCTGAGAAACATGTTCTGTCCTCTGTTGCCTCCATAGCATATATTCACCTCTAACCTACTTCTTCACAAAAGGGGGATTTGAGGTAACAAGGGTTTAAAATGCCCACTTGAAACTCCTTTTCTTACTAAGTGAGAAAGTTCCCAGTTGATGAGAAAGGAATATGTATAGTTACTGAAGTGATTTCTGAAGTGGGGCATTGCTGTCATTATCCCAATGAGCTGAATCGATCGAATTAGCTCATTCAGCAAACATATATGTAGTCTATACGTACATACATGCGCAGAGTGCTAGGTGCCCGAGAAACACCGAGGTTGCAATATGAGGGCTGGTGAGGGTGGCTGGGAGTCAGTAACACGTGGGTCAAGAATGGCACAAAGCAGCCCTGCCTCATGTGGCTTGGTTGGTTGGACCATCGTTCTGTGCACCAAAAGATGGTGGGTTGGATTCCCGGTCAGGGCACATGCCCAGGTTGTGGGTTCGATTCCCAGTCGGGCATTGTACGGGAAGCACCCAATTGATCTTTCTTACATCGATGTTTCTCTTTCCCTTACTCCCTCCCCCCTCCTTCTCTCCCCTCCTTCCTCTTTCTAGGATGAATTAAAAAATAAAATAACAATGCGGCTTGAATGCATCAAAAAGGAAAAAGAATGACCCAAGGTACTACAGGGACTCCAAGGAGAGGGACGCTCCAGCTGGGTCTATTCAGGACGGCTTTCTGGAGCTGACTTTACAGCTGGGTTTGGAGAGCTGGTCAGTGAGCATGCAGACCAGGCTGAGGAGACCGGGAAGGGGAGGCCTGGGAATATGGAAGGTGATGTGTGTTTTAGGAGCGGCCTTTCATCTCATTTGATTGGACAATGAACTGACTTGAGTGCTTACTGTGGGCCAGAACTTTTAAACAGGAGTATGCGCTTTGTCTCCAAATGATGGCACTGAGGCTCAGAGGAGGGAAGTGACCTTCCCAGCTATTTGCATGGTAGGGACGCGGTAAAGCGGGGCCTGGACTCTCGCATCTGGCTCAAGAGCCTGGACATGTTAGCGACTAGATCGCAGCTGCCTTCAAGGAGACACAGGAAATACAGTAAAACATTAGACTTGGTGAGGACTCTAGACGGCGATCAATGAGATGACCGGCTGCCTACGAAGGCAGAGGTCCATTTGAGAGGTCCTGGGCTCCTTAAGTTGTGGGGCCAGGAACAGAAACAATCAGGAGAGTTTAAAACATCATTAGGTCATTGTTTAAAAATGGGTTTGAAGTGGGTTACATGGAGAGCTGGTGGGGACCAGTTAGGGATTTATGGGGGTGACACAGGTAGGCTCTCACCTGGACAGAGGACCAGGGGGCAGAGGCTGGTTGGCTGGGATGCTGTGCTGATGGCTGCATGGGGGGTGACCGTGTGTTCCCGTTACTATAGAGTCACAGATCATTAAAATGAGTCTACATCTTTGTGTTCTGGCCATGAAATATTCATGTTATGAATTAAATTGATGCGATAAAGTCCTCAATAGTTTTATAACGTTATATATGGAAGGAATCCAGTAGAGATCGGGCCTGGCCAAGTCGTGGCCTGATGTTCCTTCCTTAAACTTTCTTCATGTCCTTTTTCCTTTCCAATTTCCTCACTCCCCTTCCCTCTCTAAGTCCTCAGCCCCCCTCCTTCCCTTGCTTTGTCCTGGAACTGACTGCTATTCTTCCTGGCCGGCAACATTGCAGAAAACTCGGTTAGCATATCCTGGCCATTATCTTTCACGCAACTTTTTTAGCGGTTAGCCGCGGTTCTCAACCTGTGGGTCGCTACCCCTTTGGGGGTCGAACAACCCTTTCACAGGGGTCGCCTAAGACCATCCTGCATATCAGATATTTACATTACGATTCATAACAGTAGCAACATTACAGTTATGAAGTAGCAACAAAAATAATTTTATGGTTGGGGGTCACCACAACATGAGGAACTGTATTAAAGGGTCGTGGCATTAGGAAGGTTGAGAACCACTGTAGCAGCAAAGAAGACAGGACTTTACATCTAGAGAAATTGGTTAGAATTGCAGCGTAGGCAGCCTCGTCTACTGAACCACGTTGTAAGGTTATTTTGGTGTGTTTTTACATACATGTCTACTCTTCACCTTGAACGGAATAGGGGAACGTCTAGAGCTGCGCCTGGTACAAAGCAAGGAGAGCAAGCCCCGTTTTACAGAAGCACTTCCATCTCTGCACACAGCAACATGCTCTCCACAGAAGCACCTCTGCCGCGAGTGCTTACATTCAGAGCACGCGCCCTCCTGTCCTCTGTAATCTGGTGTATTCTTCCCTGTGTCTTCTCTTCTGAGGCCATTTTGTTGCATTTTTTGTAAGTGATAAGCCATTTTCTTCTCTAAAAGAACTTGTTTCTGAAACGTTAAAGAAAATGCATCGGTTAGCATCACCTGGCCATTGAGAAACGCAGAACAAACACGAACGGTGCGAGGGCGTCCTGGACACAAGCTTCCTCCTGGCGGGTGGCCAGTCAGGTTGTTGGGGCGCTGCCAGGAGGGGAGCCGGGTGCTCTTCCACTTGTGCTCAGACGCGATGGGCACACACAGTTCACTCCCCGTAGGTGTTCGGGGACCTGGTCCAGAGTCCGGTCGGAAGGGGCTCTGACTGCCTAGCATCCGGGAAGCTGAGGGCGTTTTAATCACCTTCCATCGGGGGGGTTTCCGAGGGACTCACCCACAGTCACTCAGGCCTACCAGAGGGAAACATGATAGAACCATGACATGCGACTTCCTTTTGTGAACCTCCAGGCTAAGAGTGGCCCTGGAGGTGCCAGAAAGGGGGTAGCTGCCCAGAGCGAGCCCCCGCCCTCCTCAGACGGTTCCCTAGCAGAGAGTGGAGCTGCACCTGCACGTGGCCAGCGGCCCCGGACCACGGCCAGGACCACCCCGAAGGGTCGGGAGCAGCGCGCTCCGGGCCGCCTGTCACGCCTGCCCCGCAGCTACTCTGGGAACTTGCACTCACGGTGCGCTGGGTGGGGAAGCAGGATGGGGGATAACTAGTCTCAGGTTAGACACGGTCTGGCTCCATCTAACACATTTTATAAAGCAAGACCACACTGATCAAAGGGTTTCTAAATAAATCATCTCCATCCAAGAAAAACAACAACAATTAATAGTATTTATAAGAAAAAGATTCAGCACCCCAAAGGTCAAGTTCATGGTATATCGAGCATCCACTCAAAGGCAGCTAAGCATACAAAGCATCAGGGAAAAATGAGCCATAAGACAAGGAAATAAGTCAATCCCAGACGCTCCCAGAAATACTATGTGCGAGGTGTGCCTCTGGGAGGGCGTGTGCCAGTAGTTCATGGCGTGGTGCTGGGATTGCCAATCCTTTCTCGCTCTTTTTTAAAACAGATTGAGACTCAAAATCTTAAAATATTATATCTGATTTAAAATTAAAAGCATTTACTCTGAAATTAACTGATGGGTGAAAATGGAGAACTTTTCCCAAGAAATTTTGATTCTAAGAAAAAATCAGTCCCATCACTTGTTTCCTGTAGGAATTTCAAGTGTGGTTCATGGTGTGGGACTGTCAAACCCTGGGGTGGTGCTTTCTGTACTGTAGTCAGAACCCAGTGTGGCCCAAGGTGGGAACCGTGTTCATCGCTCGGAGCTGCCGCCGACCCCATTCGGGGCGACACACTGCAGTGCACGTGTCCCTCAGAGCCCACACTAGCCCCCGCCTGTACCCTGCAGAGGGAGATCACAGCTACCTTCCTGTACCCCGCAGAGGGGAGCCCACACTAGCCCCCACCTGTACCCCGCAGAGGGAGGCCACAGCTACCTTCCTGTACCCCGCAGAGGGGAGCCCACACTAGCCCCACCTGTACCCCGCAGAGGGGAGCCCACACTAGCCCTTGCCTGTACCCCCGATGTGGCAGAGGGGATGCCATGTCTACCTTCCTGTCGTTCTCCTCCCGGTTCCGCCGCCGCTGCTCCTCTATTCGTGCTTCTCGCTTCACGTCTTCTACGATTCTCGTGAGCAGCAGCATCTCCTTTGTCTTCCATTCCTGGAGGCGCAGAGTTGCTGTTAGTGTGCACCCCAAGCCTTTGTCTCTTGTCCACCAACACCCGGCAGATGCGACCAAGTCAGGACCCCGAAAGCAGGCCCTGAGCAGTGAGCGTGGGCACTGGTCCCAAAGGGGGCTCCTTCCTCCGGCCCCAGGGGAAGGCAGGCGGAGAAGTTGGCATTTTCCCCCCAAAGCTCCCTCCTCACACTGAGGTCTCCAGACCAGTTAGTGTCTAGTTGCCCAGCCAGTTGAGCATTGACCTAGGAACCAGGAGGTCAAGGTTCGATTCCCGGTCAGGGCATATGCCCGGGTTGCGGGCTCCATTCCCAATGTGGGGCGTGCAGGAGGCAGCCGACCCATGATTCTCTCTCATCATTGATGTGTCATCTCTCTCCCTCCCTTCCTCTCTGAAGTCAATAAAAATATATTTTAAAAAATCTGTAATACTTACAATAATAATTTACACTAATAAAAGACAAACATGCAAATTGACCTTACCTTTGCTATGCCTTAAGCCATGCCCACCAGCCAATCAGAGCGACTATATGCAAATTAACCCAACCAAGATAGCGGCCGGCAGCCATGGAGCTGGAGCAAGCAGGAGGCTTGGTTACCCCAATGATGGAGGAAGCCCAGCTTCCCGCCTGCCGCAGTGGCTCTGAGCTCCACTCAAAGCAACAAAGTTTCAATCATAGAAGGTAAATAACCCCCAGATACCTGCTTTCAGCCGGCCGTGGCCACAGAGCTGGAGCGAGCAGGGGGCTTAGGTTGCCCCTGGCGATGGAGGAAGCCAAGCTTCCCTCCTGCCCATCCTGGCCAGCTCTGAGCTCCTCTCAAGGCTACAAAGTTTCAATTATAGGAGGTAAATAAATCTCAGAATAAAAAAAAAAGAAAAAAAGGAGAGGCTGGGAGCTTCCGTCGCTGGGGGGGCTTGACCAGCCTGAAAACGGCCCTCAGCCCCTCACCCAGACTGGCCAGGCACCCCAGTGGGGACCCCTCACCCTAAAGGGGGTGTGGCCAGCCTGAAAACAGCCATCGGCCCCTCACCCAGGCTGGCCAAACCTCCATGGGGTGAGGGTCCCCACTGGGGGGAGGCCTTGACCAGCCTGCAAACATCCATCAGCCCCTCACCCAGGCTGGCCAGGCACCCCAGTGGGGACCCCAACCCTGAAGGGGGTGTGACCAGCCTGCAAATAGCCATCAGCCCCTCACCCAGGCTGGCCAGGCACCCCAGTGGGGACCCCCACCCTGAAGGGATTTTGGGCAGCCTGAAAACAGCCATTAGCCCTTCACCCAGGCTGGCCAAACCCCCATGGGGTGAGGGTCCCCACTGGCGGGCTTGACCAGCCTGCAAACAGCCATCAGCCCCTCACCCAGGCTGGCCAGGCATCCCAGCGGGACCCCCACCCTGATCCGGGACACCCTTCAGGGCAAACCAGCTGGCCCCCACCCGTGCACCAGACATCTATCCTATATAATAAAAGGGTAATATGCAAATTGACCCTAACAGCAGAACAACTGAGAAAGACTGGTCACTATGACACACATTGACCACCAGGGGGCAGATGCTCAATGCAGGAGCTATCCCCTAGTGGTCAGTGCGCTCCCACAGGGGGAGCTCTCTCAGCTACGAGCCAGCCTGATGGCTGCCAGCACAGCGGTGGTGGCGGGGGCCTCTCCCGCCTCCTCAGCAGCGCTAAGGATGTCTGACTGCAGCTTAGGCCTGCTCCCTGCTGGCAAGTGGACATCTCCCGAGGGCTCTCGGGCTGCCAGAGGGATGTCTGACTGCCAGCTTGGGCCCAATCCCCCGGGGAGTGGGCCTAACCCAGCAGGTGCACATCCTCCGAGGGGTCCCAGACTGCGAGAGGGCACAGGCCGGGCTGAGGGATCCCCCCAAGTGCACAAATTTTTGTGCACCAGGCCTCTCGTGTGTGTGTATATATATATATATATATATGATAAATACATAGAAATAAATGATGTCTGTGACGTTCACAGTCATGGCTCTTGGGTCAGACAGGCCTGTGGAGGCCCATGGAGCTGCGATGTGAGCTGCCAGTGGGTGCAGCTGCTGCCTGGGGGAGCCAGGAGAGGATGCGTGTGGGCACGGGACCCAGGCCTGGCATGGCATCAGGAGGCTGACAGCTAAGTCACTTGTGAATGAAACCCCACACCCGCGTCTCACCTCCTCGATCTTCCTGCGCAGCCCCAGTTTCCTGCGCATGTGGTCCCAGTGCCGCCGGTCCTCCCGGTCCATCCAGAGCCGGCGCTGCTCCTCTGCCCGGCGCTCCCGGTACTCCAGCTCCCGGTTGATCATGTCCAGGTACCTGCAGCGCAGGCGCGGGTGAGCGGCTCCCATCCCTACCCCCCCCCCCCCCCCACGTGGGCACCAGTGTCTGCTGCGGACAGGACCATGGTTAGAGGGGGAGCAGACACGGTGAAACCATGGGGCACCATGTTATTCCCAACTCAGCGGCTCGAAGGGGCTGCGTTTGCAAAGAAGATTGAAATAACCGAGAACTTGATTTCAAACAGAGAAAAAAGACCAGTGTTTCCTAAGAAAAAGTTGTATCCCAGGTCCCCAGGGACTTACAAAGCCTTGAACATCTGGAGTCCGGTCTCGGGTATGTCATATGCTTACAGAACCACCACAAAATAAATCCAGCGGACATGAAAGTCAGGCTGTGCCGCCCAACCCCTCACCTTCACGGAGGAGGAGACAGGAGGAGGGAGGAACCCACAAACGGGCCGCAGAACAGCAACGGTGGGACACGAGGAGGGACCTGAGTGCTCACACCGTCTCTTTTGGGGACAGTGCATCTCCACATCAGCATTAAGGACAGTTTAATCCACCTCCATTTTTGACTTTGCACTAACTTCCTCAGCTTCGTGCCGTCGACCCTTAAAGATGAGTCATAAAAAGCTGCTGCTAGCGGCTAAGTGTGCTAAGAGGTCTTTCCCTCCAGCTGCAGCAAGGACTCTGAGTCGGAGTCTTTCTCCTGCCCTCAGTGTGGACTACCTCTTGGATTCCCAGAAGCCCTAGGGTTTCTGCTGGAAATTGCGCTTCCTTCCCTGGGCATCCACGTTCCCGATTTCTGTGCCGCTTGGTCTCCCTGCCTCTCTATACTGAGGGCAATAGTGGCGTTAAATCGTGTCGACTGTGTTAAAACATGCCCAGCTCCAGTTCTTTCTAGTATTTTCCCTGCTTATTGGCGTGCAGGGCGCACACACACACCGGGCCTCCCCTCGAGCCCTACCTGTGCCGTATGAGTCGCTCCTGGTCCCTGAAAGATGGGACGCGGTCCATTAGCATCCAGTTTTGGAACTGGGTAACTTCAGGACGTCCAGGTAGCTGGTTGTTGTCTTGTAGTTGATTGACTTGCCTTGTAAGCATTTTCTATTAAAATAAAAGTGTGCATCATGCACATACGCTTATCTCTGTGCATATACAGTGTAAAGTTTACCAGAAATAGGACGTCCCATTGATACGCCTTTTTCTATTTAGTGTTCAGTAACCCCCCTGTACTTTCTGAAGAGCTAATTCTGTTGAACGCCATCCAAGTGTATTTTGCGTCCATTACAGACGCGGGAAACTGAACCAAAGGAAGCGTTTCTCCCTGAGAAGGGGAGACAAAGATCATCCCTTTCCAGCCGCTCGCTCGATGCCTGGGGAGCGGGCTCGTAGCCTCCCTGTCAGGGCCAGTTGGGGAGTGTTCGTCTTTCCTTTAGGCTCTATTTCCGGGGGTGAGACCTCCCTGCTCCTGCTGTTACCAAAGAAGCCAGGAGGCTCACAGTCAGGGGGAAGGGCAGCCAGGGGACCTGGGGCCTCGCCCGCCGCTCACACTAACGCTGAGCACCACCAGGGCACTGGTTACCAGTGGGGCCTGTGGGGGCTCTCCCTGCCCCGCCCACCAAAGACCAGAACCTGGCCTGGCCCCTCACCTCCTCCCCCAGGCTACTGGTGGCCGTCTTGATAGAGTCAGCCTTGGCCTTCTTGGAGCAGAAGTTGAGGTACAGCTCCATCGTAGCTGGCACCTCCCCTCCTAGTCCCTGGTCCTGACGGGACCTGAAATGGCCAGGGCCCCCGTCTCCAAGACCCCACTGTTGCAGAGTTCCAAGTCGGAATGTGGGGGCCCCAGAGGGCAGAGCCCTGAGCGGGCTGGCCCCTCTGGCTTGAGGCTGAGCACCCAGAGTTGGGGAAATCAGTCCTAGGCCTGGTCTGAGAGGCCCAGAGTTGAAATATCATTTCTTTCTGAAACCAACACCAGGCAGATGAAACTTAATTGCTTTGGCCTCTTTGTCAGAAACAAGGGATGCTCCACTTACATGGACCCCCATCTCTTCCTTTTCCCTTCCATATAGTTACATCTTCATTGTTTTCTGTCATTAATGACTCACAGTTTACATCGCAGAGAGAGTGAGCATCTTCTGCTAGATTTTTCCCTGGGCGTTTTACATTTTGTGTATAATAATGGCAATTAAACACCAGTTGTTAAAAATAGGAACGACCTGATTTTGCTATTTTATCCTTTTATTCTTGAACTTTGCCATACTCATTTACAAATTTTAATAATTTCTTTTAGATTCCATGGAAGTTTTTGTTGAAACAACTCTACTCTCTATAAAAGGTTTCCTCCTTGCTTTCCTGTCTCTGTCTGTTAGATTTTGTATTTCTGCAAAGGCTGGGCCGACGCCCGGGAGGAGAGCTGGGAGTGGGAGTCACTACCCTTTTCCTGATTACAAGGCAAAGAGCCAGGCTCCCTTCACGAGGAAGATCCAGGCTGTGGATGTTCTTAGATTCACTTCATCATGTTAGGACGGTGTCTCTTACCGTCTACCCGCTTTCTTGAGGTGCAGTAGGCATTTAAGACCTGCACGCACGTAATGTGTATAATCCCTATGGGATTGGCCATAGGCAAGCACCTCTGATCCATCACCACAATCAAGGGGACGATACATAGCTAACGTCTCCCAGACTTTTTTGGGTTTCTTTTTATTTTTCATTTTGCAGTAAGAACACTGAGAGAGCTGGTTGTTTAACACATTCTGAGTGAACAACACTGTATTGTTGGGCTGTATTTCCTTGGGTGAGAACTGTCTACCTCGGCTGTAAACAAAGGAAGTGAAGAGCCACACAGCCAGGGTTGAAGGGCGCCCCCTGCAGACAGCATAGAGGACCTGCGGTCCCCCACCAGCCAGTGGCAGCTGACACTGAGCCCCCCAGGGCGCCCCAAGTGCCTGGTTACCACGTGGGGCCTGTGGGGGGTTCTCCCTGCCCTGTCCACCAAAGACCAGGACCCTGGCCCTGCCCTCACCTCGTCACCCAGGCTGCTGGCAGCCGTCCTGGTGGAGGTAGCCCTGGCCGCCTTGGAGCAGGAGCTGAAGTACAGCTCCATCGTCGCCCGACCCTTCGCCTCCCGTCCCTTGTCCCGATGGGACCAGGAGTGGCAGGACCCCCGTCTCCAAGACCTCACTGTGGCAGAGTTCCAAGTGAGAATGTGGGGGCCCTGACGGGCAGAACCCTCAGGGGTTGGCGCCCTCTAGCTTGAGGCCTGAGCTCCCAGAGTTGGGGAAATTGGTCAGTTCCAGAGCCTGGTCTAAGGGTCCCACAGTCGAAATAGCCTTTCTCTCTGAAACCAACACCAAACCAACAGCCCAAACAAACCCCGAATCACGACATACATGGCTTTGCTGGTGCATAGCTGGCTAGTTTCTTCTGGCCTCCAAAGAGCTGTGAGTCCAGAAAACAAACAAAACAAAACAAAACAAAAACCCCAGGAGTGATTGTACTGCCTGTGCCAAGGCTAGAGGCCTGGCTGCCCCCTGCGCCCCACAGACGATGAGCACACCCCACCCCGGGCTCCCCCAGCCCCCCATGCAGATCTTCATAACATACTTGGGCTCCCTTGTGGGAATGTTGCCTTCCGCCCCCCTCCTCCCGGTAGTTTCCCTCTTTTCCTTCTAGCTCTCTTCTCTCTTCTACTCCCCGCTCTCGGCCCCCTTTCTTTCTCCTCTCAGCCACTCGGCCAGAACTTACACAAGGCCTGACTCCCTTGGCCAGTCATTGAGTTGGGCAGGGACTGAAATACGACCCTTTTCTCCTAGGAGCTATGTAGGCAGTAAGGACATTGAGGATAGCGGCTGTTCCTGATTCAGGAATTTGGATTTAGCCTCTTGGATTCCATAGCCTTGCTGTTCCCTGTGATTCCTGGGCCATTTAGTAATGATACCCACCATTTCTTGAGAATATACTACTAACTCCAGACACTGGGCTAAGCACCACATTGAATCTTGGTCACAGCCTTGCGGATAATCACCCTTTTCTATTCAAAGATTAAAGACGAATCGTAGTCACTATGGTGTGGAGCCCCCAGAGGCAGTGTCCTGCTTTGTTGTGATGCTGCTCACACGCTTAGGACACCTAAGTTGGAAATCTAACCTGGGGATAGAGTCCACCCTCGCTCCCCACATGGATGGGCCACAACCCTCTGAAACTCGGTGTCCTCAAATCTCAACCCACACTCTCCACCTCAACAGACAACACAAAGGGCCCATTCTTCCTGCATTTCCCATCTCTGTGGGGATATCAGTATCCACCCTTCACAGCTGCAAAGTGCTCCTCGGTACTTTCCCTCCACTCCTCCCCACAGTCATGTGATCTCAGTCCTACTGATTTCATCACTGAAATTATTGGTCCTCTCTCACCCATCTCTACAGCACTCCCCAGGCCATCAGCTTATCTCTGGTTTTTTTTGGTCTGATTTCCACAGCCTCAGAACAAACCTTTATTCCCAACAATCCATCATCTCTTATCAAGTTCGTCTTTGCTGCCGTTTCTCTACCCGCATTAGATTCCTGATTCCTCCCAGGAAGACTGAACACACAGCACATAGCAGCCTCTGTGACTCGGTCCCGTGTTGGTTTCTCATTGCTGCCGGAACACCTGGCCCCAATCTTAGTGGCTTACATAGCACCGAGGTGTGACCGTGGCATAGGTGAGGTCAGCGGTCTGAAATGAGTCCACGGTGATGAAATCAAGGTGCCAGCAAGTCTGCCTCTTTCTGGAGTCTGTAGGGCACAGTCTACATCCTTGTTCCTTCTGGCTTCTAGAAGCTTCCCTTTGCTCCCACCTCAGATCCAGCACATCGCACCCTCAGACCGCCCTCCGCCTCAGACCTCTGCTTCCCTCTCCTGCCATGAAGAGTCTTTGGATGATGCTGGGCTCGTCGCCAGGGCCCAGAAGATGTCCTGGTTCCGAGGTCAGGTGATTGGCAGCCTCCATGCCATCAGCAGCCTTGACTGTCCAGTGCGATGGGACAGAACAGTCACAGGTCTTGGCAATGAGGATGTAGACAACTCTGGGGGGTGTCATCCTCCTGCCATTCCCTTCCTAAGACACACCTGCCCTAGATGCCCAGTGGTGAAGGCCTGGTGGGGGTAGGTTAGGTGGTGGGGGCCAAAAAGGGAGAAAATGAGAGATATCTGTAATAGTGTCAACAATAACATAAAATACATTTAAAAAGAATACAGAAAGTTTCCACAAACATGGTATTAGTTCCAGCACTGCCTAACGCAGTAGCTCAGAGCAAGCCGCCTAAACCAGCATCATCCTTTGTCCTGTCATTCTGAAGGCGGGTGGTGTGAGATCGAGCCTGCAGGCCGGATCTCTGAAACCCACAGGGGGCTCTCTGCCTGTCCCTGGCTCTGGTGGTGGGGCGCCTGCATGGTGCTAGTGTCCCCTCTGTCCCAGCTCTCGGGCCTCCGATTCCTGCGTAGATTGGCCAGGCTTCCGTTTCTGTGTCTCAGGCGGGAGGTGTGGCGGCTGAGGAAGGTGCCTCTTGGTAGGCGAGATGTGGTAGGATTCTGGGTACATGTTTGGTTCGAGTCAGTGGATTTCCTGACTAATGTGATATAAGGCGTGTAAGAGAGAAATACAGGCACTGTCGGCGTGGCTCAGTGGTTGAGCATTGACCTATGAACCGTGAGGTCAGGATTCAATTCCCGGTCAGGGCACAGGCCCGGGTTGCGGGCTCCATCCCCAGTGTGGGGTGTGCAGGAGGCAGCCAATCCATGATTCTCTCTCATCATTGATGTTTCTATCTCTCTCCCTTCCTCTCTGAAATCAATAAAAATGTATTTATGAGAGAGAGAGAGAGAGAGAAAAGGGTTAGGGATGACATCAAGGCTTCTGGCCAGACCCTGTGAGAACAATGGGATTGCATGCATGTTGGGGGCACAGTGGAGGGCAGAGATTGGACATGTTGGGTTTGGCCTGTGGGTTGACGTCCAGCCGGGGATCAGCGCCCACGGGTGACCTGAGGAAGCAGGATTCGGGCAGGAGGGCGGGGTGGCAGGTGGCGTTCCAGAGCCGCGAGGCCTGGGCTGTGTCTGCAGCAGGAGCATTGCTGGCTCAGCACAGGCTGCCCATTGCAGGCCTGGGAGCGCACCGCAGCCTCCATTCTCCCAGCCTCTGGGCTCGCCCTCCTGCCTTTTATCTGTGCGCTGAGGGGCGACGCCTTGCTCATGGGGCCTCTCTCTCCCCGGGTGGTTCCATTCGGCCGCTGTTCAAGCTCTGCAGCTGTGCCTGGGCCACCATGTTCGCATCTCGCTCAAAACCTTCGTCTTTGAACTTAAAACTCTCCTTTGTTCTAGTTCCTCTGTGTCCTCAGCCCCATGTTTCCATGTTTTGTTTTGACTTTTACATGTAACTTATTACTATTTCGAACATCAGCCCGAGAACAGGGTTAGAACCGCACACCAGGTTCAGAGTACATTCCAGTGGCCCAGGGTCACATCAACACTCCTGACGCAGATCTGAGTTTTGTATCAGAAAAGAAATGCAAATACACAAATAACACCCTTGTGGTTCTTAAAGAGAAAATAAATAAAAATAAAAAGGAGTGGAAGCACATTTTAACATGGTCATTGTGAGCTATTAGAAAGAATGCAATAAAAAGCATTGCTTCTGATGAGCAATTTCCCTTAGTCAGGTAATTTAAAAATACATTTAAATATAAGCCAGTCTTAAGAAGTTACAATAAAATATGTCCTATCTGTTCACACTCAGAAAAAATAAGTCATGTACAACTAACTCGTGTTATGGAGCTGCAGATCTCTACTAAGGAATTGGGAATAGTTGAATAGACAATGAATGTTATTAAAAAATCTGGCATGGTATGTTATTTAAAAATGGTTGTTTTTCTATGCTTTTTGGGGAAGAGAGATAGATGTAAGATTAATACTAATAAAATTTATTCCTATTAAACTATTTATTAATGCATTCATATTTTTACAGATTAGTAAACGTTATGTATATAATAACATACAACTTGTATTTTTATATATGTATGTATAGACAGATAGGCAGATAGATAGAGATATAAAACCAGCATCTAATACTTCAGATTCATACCTTTCACTTTTCCTCTCCTGAATCAGTTTTTCAGTCATTGAGAAGGGGGAGGAGAGTCTATTTTCACTGTTATTTAAAAAATATATTTTTATTGATTACAGAGAGGAAGAGAGAGACAGAAACATCAATGATGAGAGAGAATCATTGACCAGCTGCCTCCTGCACGCCCCCTGGGGATCGAACCCACACCCAGGCCTGTGCCCTGACTGGGAATCGAACCCTGACCTCCTGGTTCATGGGTTGAAGCTCACCCCCTGAGTAACACAGGCCTCACTCTTCCTGAAACTGTGAGACTGCTGCCCCCCCGCCCCCCGCTCCAGCTCTAGTCGCCCTTGATCTGCAGGGACCTGAGTGTGTGAGCCAAACCGTCCAGCAGAAACACTTCTGAGCTGTTCCCTAAGCGAACCGTGATGGAGAATAAGGCTATTATTGTAGGTGCTGGCTTTGTGTGTGTCTGGCGACAAAGCAGTAGCTGACTACGAGCATCATGAGATCTCCCGCCAGGGTCCCTGTGGCTATTGTACCCACTCAGCGCACCCGTGGCCGTGCCGAGGTCCTGGTCAGCTCCCTCCCGAGGACAGCTGGCCGCTTGGTGGCAGCTTGACCTCATTTGGTCTCTCTCCGCTTTGGAGGGGACGGCAATCTTTTCTCAATGTTTGTAATTCAAGTAGCGTTAATTAGCAGAACGTGTCAGCTAACCAACAGACATTCCGTGGACACTGAACGCCATTGCACTCGTCGTTTGTGGAAGCTGGCACGAGTGGAGCCATTTCTGAGAGGAGCAAGAGCAGCCATTCGAGAGGCGCTGCCGGGCACAGCTGCCTCCTTGACGCTCTGGAACGAGCGAACGGGCAACGCGAGCCTCGGGCTTCTGCCTGAACGAGCCCCTCGATGAAAGTTCTTTGATCTCAAATAAACGCTTGTTGCCTCTCACTTGGGCTTTTTATTTTCAGGTTAACAACTTTAAACTCGTTTTTCTGCCAT